GACCTGCACACTCCTTGAACATCCACCCAGGTATGTTATCGGGCCCGGGGCTTTTCTTGGGCTTACTCTCCTCAGAGTTTTCCACACTTACGCTATGTCAAGGTTGAGGGCCTCCTCTTGCTGATGTGGTACAGCTTTCACTGCTGGAGTGCTGTTTAGTGCCTCAAACCTTCCAAAGAATTTGTTTAGCCCATTTAGGCCCTGTCCACATGAAGTCAAAACGAACACGAAACGCTAATATTTTCCAGAACGTTTGTCGTAAAGACGGAGACGTAAAATAAATGTGATCGACCACACGAATGCATGAAAACGCTGCAAAATGTATGCCAGGCCTGTAAGTGGCGCTGTGATGCCAAAGCAAAAATAGGCGAAAACAGGCAACGAAATGTTGGGCATGCGCAGTAATATTTATACATGGTTGCCCTGCGGGTCCATTTTCGTGGTTCAGTCAAATTGATGTGCTGAACTATGTCGTTGATATTGCTCTGTTCTTCCTGGAGATATTCCAGAAGAAGAAGATTCTGTTGTAAGCCCGACAGCAGGGTGAGTAGCATTAGCAGCAACCATTCAACACAGTACGGCGCCATTGTTGTTGTGATACTGCGTTTAGAGGCGACGCTATGACGCATGCGTGTAAGAAAAAAAATGCGGTTAGAGCTTAAAGATGGAAACGCGAAAACGGCGTTTCATAATCTTCCCACTCTGAAGGCTGAATAAAAAAAAGATTGTTTACAGACCCCCGAAACGCCGGCTTCGTGTGGATGAGAGGCTGGTTTGGTGAAAAATGTGTGCGTTTAGGCCAGGGTTTGACTTCGTGTGGACGGGGCCTTAGGAAGGTGTTTTGTAGTCTGTGTCTGTATGCCTTGCCACATCTATCTGATCTACAGCTGGATCTTCCAGCTGTGGTTCTGCTTCGCTGATCTGATGGCACAGTTCAAGTTGGCTTACGCTGTCCTCAGTCCCTCTCTGTCACCAGACTCTAAGACTGGGTTCTGTGCTTTCAGCGATTTCCATTTCATTTCCATTGTTCTAACATTGAACAGACCAAAGCATGGATAAAAGGAGTTTTTCATTTTTTCCTAATTCTTTGCCATTTTCCAGCTGGTTGCTAATCTTAACCTTTCGCAAACAGAGAGAGGAAGTCTCAGCTTCCTCTATCACTGAGCCGCTGGGATCTAGTATCGCCTGAGCTACTTATATGACTTTAAACTACTATTCCTGATGGGGCAGAATCCTTTCATAGCAACATTTGCATCATAACCAGAAGTACACATTAAGATATTTTTGACCCTTCAAAATTGATCAAATAAAGATTTTCATAGTTTTAATTTCCCTGGTGAAATTTATTTGTCACCACTCCCTTTATAGTTAGACCAGAGGCTGCGAGGTTTTTTCCACAGCAACAGGTTTAGCATCGCGCTTCTGACCAGAGAAGAACTTTCGCTAATCAAGTTTGTAAATTTTATCAATGGGTAAATTAACCTGGTCTCATGGTGGTCAGCATGGAGCATGCCACTTTGCTGCACTTACCACTGTAATGTGTCTGCTCTGCTTCCCCATAAGGAGCTTTACAATGTTTGTTTTTGGCAAAGAGATTCTTAGCCCATATGTTAATAATTTCGCTCTTTTTTTTTTTTTTGCAATATTTAACTCAAATTCAATTTAAAAACACTTAATTAATCCCAAAGGCAAATTAAATGATAATATTATAATATTGAGGGGGCCTTCATTGATAATAACTAAGTTGGTACAATTTAAGTCAGGAGTCTGAATAGTCTACTCCAAAAATAGTTTATGTAATTTTGTATGTATATTAAGAAGTATGACTGAAAAAATAATATAAATTATATAAATAAATAAATTAAGTTATTGAAATTTAAGGCAAACATATTTCAGTTAAAAACTGACTAAACTAGGGAAACTCAATGAAACTACTATGTGTCAGAATCATGGCTTTGAGTGCTGGCCTAATTGCTCGCTTTATTCACCTATCTAACTCTGCCCGGTTTCCAATTACTACTCATCTAATCCACCGGGGCCATCGGGGCCAGATTATTGCTGATGTTCTTCATGTTTTCATTCTCGTAGGCCAGTGGAGAAATAGTTTTTTTAGTCTTTTATAGTGTTCCTGATATCCTCATCCTGATATGCCTCTCTACCACTGAGCCTGCCTGTTCCTATCTGACCACTCTGCCTGAAGTCTGTGGACTCCTTGAACCCTGGACCAGTCAGTTCCTGTTCTCATCGGTTTCCCTCATCAGGCTCCAGACTCCTGGACCTCTGATCCTTCCTGTTCTGATTTGTAATAAATTAAATAAACATGATTCGAAATTTGGAATATGTCAATGATTTTTTTCACTCATTTCGTGCAATTTTAATGGCTTAAACAAATTAAAAAATGCTAATTGTGTTTGTCCACAAAATCAATAACCTTTAGTTGATTGATGCCTAACCTTCTGTGATTAAGCTATTAGTTAGCAGACATTTTTAAGGAGCCTTTGTTTATATTGTGGTAATCAAAGGGGATGATCACATGAGGAAACATACAAACATGTAGAAGAATATTTTTTCTTGGCCTATTTGTGAGATTAAATATTTTTAGTGTGCCCTTTCTTTGCCTAAATAAGGGTGATTGTTTTGAAGTCTCGTACCAGTCTGTATGATGGAGTTAAGTTATTTAGGGAGTTAAGAGTGGGAATGACAAAAAAGCAGTCGCCTCCCTACTCTAGACAAGGGTGAAGGGAGGGTCATGAGAGATAAGAATGAGTTCACACACCCAACTTAATGCCGTGAATGGAAGACCTGTTCTGAGTGTATATTTGGCTAAAATGTATGTCCTTGATTAATGAATGAAGTGTTTCTTCTTGGGAATAATCAAATGTTCAAGTGTGAGAAAGTTGTTTTTGTAGGGGTGGGACAGTTCAAAGGGAGAGAGTGTGTATTTTGAGTTGCTCTATAAATGTATGCACTGAGCTTTGACCTGTCAGATCTCTATCTCTCCATCTGAGGATGTTAAATAAATGTGAACATTCTCTTGCAAGAGTTTCAACTTGCACCTCGAATCCACACTTATCTATGGGCTCAAATAACCAGAGTTCCTTGATGGGTCATTGGCTGGTCCTTGGCTGATACTGGACAATTCCTTTTTATACATCAATCTTTGTACTAAAATATTATTTCTGTCATGATTTGTGGACATTAAGATCTAAAGAGAAAAATCATCTCCTGGTCAGACCCTGTAATTCAGTGAAAGGATGGAGTAAAAAGATATGCATGCCCATGAGAAGGCCATTGGCTGGAAGTTGGAGGGGATTTTGCTGTCATTCGGCTGGCGTTTGTCTGGGAAGGTCCATTTTGAATGGCTGCTACTGTAGATCTCGGGACCTATCAGGTATTTGTCTGTTTTAGAGCCCCTGTGAGATCTATTTGGTTGGGCTACCAGAATTCACGTACCATTTCTCACTACATCCCATAGGGCCATACACAGGAAATCTAAAATAATAATGTGCGGACTCGTCAATCTGGAAGAAGAAGAATAAGAAGAATTCCCTTGTTTGTACATGTGCAGTTCATGAGGTTCTGGTAAATCAGCTCATAGTTCTGCTTCAACAGCAGGACATACCCACCAAAACCTCACGAGAGCTGACTCAATTTCAAACATTTTTGAGTGTGTGCCCAGCCAAGCTTAGAGTGTGTGATCTAAGCTTGGTCCAAACTCGGCATGAATCGGTTTCAGAGGGGTAGTATAAAGCCGGGCATACACTGTACGATTTCTTTCCCTTTACGGGCCGATTTCCCAGTCACGCGAGAATTAGTCAATCGGCCCGACTTTCATCCTGATGGTGCATTGTGTAGTATACAGGAGATAATGAGGGGTGATCAGCCTCTCATGACCACCTCCCGATCAGGAATCCTAAGGTTGGGAGAATATCAAACATGTTTGAAATTCAGTCGACCGTCGTAAGGTTGTTGTGGGTAAATCGCTCAGTGCGCAAACAAGGATTCGCCTTCATCTTCTTCTTCCTGTCAGACAAAAACACACTAGCATAGTAGCCCCGTTTGCGCATGTCTTTATTTAAATACTTTGTCACCTTTTCTTTTTAGGGCTTTCAGCACAAAATTGTACAAATTGCCAAGGCAGCGCATGTCACTCAAGTGAGCTTCATATTCCTCTTCTATTCATTTGGCTTCCGGACAGACGAGTCTGAGTAGCACCATCTCACTGCGGAGCTCAGTCCCACCTGGTTTTTAGACGTACAGTGTGAGCAGGTAGATCGCATCAGAGCGTTGCACAGTGTGAGAACAAACATTGTGAGCTGTGAACTTTTAAACCCTGCAGTTTCGTAATACAGTGTGAGCTACAGCTGAGTGCAATGATTTCGCACAGTGTATGCCCGGCTTAAATGGGGGACATGTTAGCCTGCAGTGGTCATTCCTTGGAAAGCGCTAATGGGTAATTTACATGAGATTGAACTGTTAAAGAGGGTTGGGGAACTTGAGACCGACAAGAGTTTGAGAAGATGTTTGAAACATAAATTAGTTTTTAGCTGCTCTGAATTTTCTTTTTTCTTTTTTTTCTTTTCACTTAAAACATGGGGAGTGTTTCCACTGCTGGTGTTTGCTGCTGCAGCCTCCAGCAGTTAGTTTGTTGCAGCCGATGAATGTGACCAATGGGTAATTCAATGCACAAACTTACTTTGATCTCAGTGGGTGGGGCTTCATTGATGTCATCAACTTACAACGCCATTGTGTTGAACAGGGGATCAACAGTAAGCACACAAAATTCAGTGCAGATCTAATAAAGCATCTAGGAGATTCGTAGAGATTTCTCATATGTCGCTTCATTCTAAGATCAAAATCTCTGCTTTTTAAAATAGGTTTCTTAGCTGCTTTTCTTAATTTTAAGTCTCCATGAAGTTAATAAATATCCACAACTTCAAAAAAGATGTACAGTATATTACCACCATCAACATAAGTCTTTTCTTTCCTCTGCCCTATAGAATTGGATACCAACTACCAATATTTGTTGGCTTCTGCATTATGTTCCTGTCTACCATCAGTAAGTTTAATCAACAATCTGAAGCATCAGAAAGTGACCCCTCCTGCCTCAACACTGATGGTTTCTTCTTTATATCTCTGTGTTTTTTCTATTGTGAAGTGTTCGCCTTCTCGTCCAGCTACACTTTGCTGTTCTTAGCCAGGTCGCTTCAAGGTGTCGGCTCCTCCTGTTCATCAGTGGCTGGTAATGTCCTTTCTTTTGATTTATTAATGACTATTTGTCTACAGTTTTATTGCGTTACCACTAAAGCAGACAATTTAGAAAATATTATTATTTGAAATTAAATTATCTTGTGTTAGTTAAATTATAAGCCGGTAGATTTCATTAAAAAAACATATTTATGTTATGATACTAACTGTGAGTATAAAGCTTTGAAGATGCAGATTTATTTATTTGTTCATTCATTTTTTTATTAAATCATTTTTTCTGTATGCATTTCTACATCATTCATAAAATGAGGGGGGCAACGTTTCACCCCTATGGTTGGTTAGATATCGCTGCATCGCTGGACTTTTCCTTAGTTTTTTCCTTTTTTTTCACAATAGTAGACAAGTTTCCCAGCTAGAACTAAAGGGGGCGCCATTTTTGTTGGATTCTGCTGAGAATTTCCCCAGGCTCCTTGGAAAAGGTAGGGACAGTTGGAGAGGAAGGTGGTGTCACATCCTCAGAACCATGGATCCAATATTCAGGCAGATGGGTCTGGACAATTTTCAAACAGGCTTTATTTAAACAATACGGCAAGCGGCTGGTCGTCAGTGGGGCGGATAACCGGATTCTCTGCAGGGATAGAAAAACTCAGGTAAGTGACTAGAATGTCGGGCTGATCACGACTAGAAGGAAAAAGTCTCTGACCTGGTTTAGAGTTCAGTCAGATCCCAGAGGAAGGAGAGGAATCCGGGAGGGTGATTGTCCACCGCTTGCAGCAGTAGCCACTTCCAAAGCTCAGACCACCAGCCGACGCCGAGGAGGCAATAGTGTCCGCGAGGGAATATCCAGTGCAAAAGTTGAATGAGAACCAGGTTGACAGACCAGAAGATCCGAGAGCCAAAGATGTACTGAAGGAGAATCCAAGCCAAGGTCAGTAACACAGTCCAAGTTCACAAAACCAGCAAAATCCAGGAAATCAGGGCAAAAAAAACTAACAGAGCAGATAAGGGCAAGGCAAAAACTCCATGACAGTTGGATTTGGAGTCTAAACTATGGCTGAAGGCAGCCACTCTTTACAGGGTTAAAAAAAAAACTACCACTGACCCCTACCACTCATAAAAAAAATTAAAAGATCAGGACAACGGGCCCCACTATTTTACTACAGAATTATTAAAATTTAACCAGATCCACCTCCTCACCGCTCAGTAAGTCAAGCTGAGGATGAGTTTATTCAGCTTTGTTGGTGGACGTGTCTGAATCTTGTACCCACGGAGAGAGTGGACCTGCACACCTCTGGATGAATGCTCTCTTCTTTGTGTGCAAGTTTCCACAAGAGTTATAGGGAAAAGATCTCCATGAATGAACGGAAGGATTCATGTCCTATTTCAAAGTTGCATAAGGGTGACCAGGTAGAGTCTGTGGCGATGGGACTGGTCAGGAGCAGCCTCCACCTCTCTGTCCTCCTCAGCCGCACTCCCAGCATCATGGCATCATTCAGACACTGACTTGGTTAAACATTTACCTTCATGTTCACCAAATTGCTGCATTTGTTTCATCAGCATCCAGCCAACTGTGTCGTTATGTGTTTTTCCAAGCTCTTCTACTTATTCTGGTGTTCTCTGGAATCTGGAGTGAGCTAATTAAGTTATTAATTAATTACTTAATTAGAGAATGAGTGAATGAATGGATGAGTGTGTAAGTGAGTGGGCAAATTCATTAATTAATTGATTAATTAATGAGTGAATGAGTAAATTAATGAATGAATGGATGAGTGAGTGAGTGATAAAATGGATGAATTAATGAATGAATGAAGAAATATTTTTAAAAGTATCAAATTAATCATACTTTTTGGCAATTAATTTATTTCTGCCTGTCTTCTTGTGTCAGTTTTGGTCCTGCATAGAAATGCTCATGCTAAACAGAAGGTAGAAAGCATCTCCTGCAAATGGAAGATAAATTTTCCTAACAAAATAGTAGAAGCTCTCTTTTCCAGGGGCTGTCCAATCCAGAAACTGACTTAGGTTTCCCTGAATGTGAGTCATTGTACAGGTTTGATCATAAACAAAAATGATGCCCAATCAAATCTACAGACAAGTTTTGAACTTGTTAAATATTTGCTTGGTTAAAGATTTCATTGGTCGGTCGTTCATCTAGGAGTTTTTTTTTTTTTTTGATTGGCTTGTATCAGGATGTTATGAATTGTTTCTGAGGAGAGAAAAGGCCAAAGCTCTGAAACTTGAGCTAAGTTGAAAACAGCCGGCCGGTGCCCGCCTATCTCTGCCTTGATGCTGGAGAAAACAAAAGCTGCGCTGAGATTCTCCATCCAATTGACATTTATCAGTGCAGGTCCAGGAACCGGACCCAGTGAAATACATATCACATTGCCATTTCACCCTCCCTGTTTTGGCAATGTTCACTGGAGACTGTGCTACACTGTGTGTTTGTAGGCATGGGGATGCTGGCTAGTGTGTACACGGATGATGAGGAGAGAGGTCACGCCATCGGGATCGCCTTGGGAGGTCTGGCGCTTGGAGTGTTAGGTATGTGGAAATCTGTTCTTGTTTCAGAAGCTTCAGTCACATCCGTAGCCATGATGATTACACTGAGCCCTAAAAACAGATCGATCAACACGAACCGAAAACTGGTTTAATATTATTAATAATATTTATTATCCTGGTTGGTAGTTATGTGTCCAAACAACCAATCTAATTTGGTAAAAGGGAAAACCAAAACAGATCAGTAACTTTGACCAAAAAATTGGTAGATAAGTGTAACAACATTAAATCCAGGACCAGGGCTTCAACTTACAACCCTCTGGTAGCAAGGATGTCATGACTCAGGAAAGAAAGACCCAGTATTCTGGGCAAGACAGACAGTGGGATAATTTAAAGTGTTTATTAATACAACGGAACGAGGCTTTGGATCAGCGCGGTCAGCAGATAGGGCACCGCCCATCACTGAAAACTGTGGTTGGAGAAAAATATAGATAAGAGACAAAAAAAATCTGACTAAGGATAATCATCTATGAGAGTTACTAACCTGGTTTAACAGTTTACTCCATCATCAGAGAATGATATAGAATCCAGCTGGTGGACTACCAACGAGATGCTACCAACCAGGCTAATAAAGGCTGAACATTTAGACAGGAAAAGACAGGCGCAGTGGTTGAGAGGCAGAACAGGATCAGGAAATCAGAAACACTACCAAATGCTAAAAACCTTCTCCCCACTGTACCCCAAGAACGAGCACTAGAACAAGAGCAATAGCATCAATAACCTGGCAAAGATGGCTGGGATTGAGACGTATAAATAGTAGCAGGAGCAGGTGGATTAGAGAGGTGAATGGAGTGAGCAAATGGGTCAGCCATCAGTTCCAAGATCATGACACAAACTCCTTAATCCAACACCACTGTCCCTGCTTCTTGGAGGGATTATCATGCTGCACATGAACACAGCACTGTAATTGTTCCCTAGACCCATACCTATTAGACGCTCACTGGACTACAGCTAAACAGTCAGAGTAGTAAACCATCAGTTACCATGTTTATTAGTTGTTTGTTTTACCAATTGAACCCCAGTAGGCCTCAGCAGATGGCCGCTCACACTGAGCCTGGTTCTGCTGGAGGTTTCTTCCTGTTACAAGGGAGTTTTTTTCTCTCCACTGTCACTACAAGCAGGCTTGGTGTGAAGGATTGCCTTCAAGTCAGGTGGCGCAGTGATCAGCGCGCACGACCCATGTACGGAGGCCTTAGTCTTCGATCTGGCTGACCCGCGTTCGAATCTGTCATGTGGTCCTTTGCCGCATGTCTCTCCCCCTCTCTCATACCCCTTTTCCTGTCAGCCAACTGTTGAAAAAAACAGCCAGTAGTGCCGTAAAAATTTTAAAAAAGAAACCTTTGAACCAATTTGACTGTATGATCCAGTGAACTGTAAAGTGCCTCCAGAGGACATGTGCTGTGAATTGACGCTATGTAAATAAACTGAATTGATTTTATTTGGTTTATTTGAGACCAGTAGCTTGGTCAGTTTCTTACCAATATATTGGGTTAACCAACTAGACTGGTTGTTTTTCCAGCCAATTCATTCTTAAATTGTAGGTGGACAACTAAAAGTCAAGCAAAAGTATCATACCGTTTTCATGTAATCTATTAAAATATAATATGTGGTGCTTTCATGATTTACTCATGCTTTGTAATAACTAAAGTCCCATCAGAACATTTTTGATAGCGTACTATAACCTATGCTCAAGCGCGGTTATTACTAGAGAGAATTTAATTCATGTGAGCCAATAAGTGGCACAATTGTGCTCGATCAATACTGTTTTAAAGCTGGTAGCCATGTCTTCAAATACAGTATTTAAAAGACTACTTATATAGTATACTCCAGGTGATGAAAAGATGAGTGGCAGGTGTGTAGAAAGCCCGTCTGCAGATGTCTGTCCATAAAAGCCACACATCAACCTCTGATGGCAATGGAAAGAAAATGCAACATTCCAACTCAGCTCTCACCTTATTACTGGACTTTCTTCATACAAAGAGATTAAACCATGATGAACAATTTTAGCTTATTCTGCCCTCAGTCTGAAACAACTGAAATAAATAACTGCACAGCCTCAATAATACACCATGACTACAGAGCTAGCCAATGTTGTTCCGTTCATAGTTAAAAAGAACAAGGTTAAAGTTCAGTTCACACAGATGAAAATTAACTAGATCATGTTCATAGTTCACTTTTTCAAAAATGTCACAAACCTATAAATGAACTAGTTCAAGTTCATTTGGTAAGTAAAGCCACAATCCTCCACAATAAAACCTCATATTTCCCCCTTTAAATGTGTGATCATAATTAATAGAAAGAAATGAAAATACTGGATGCAGTCAATGAAATTCAATGCAGTTTATTTATATAGTGCCAATTCACAACACATGTAATCTCAAGGCACTTTACAGTTCATCAGATCATCCAGTCAATTTGATTCAAAGTTTTCTATCTAAGGACAACCAGTTGATTCTTCAGCAATTCCTCAGACTAAGTATGCTTGTAGCGACAGTGGAGAGGAAAAACTCCCTTTTAACAGGAAGAAACCTCCAGCAGAACCAGACTCAGTGTGAGCGGCCATCTGCTGAGGCCGACTGGGGTTCAAGGAGACAGAAGCTGACATACAAAAGGAAATTGTCTACCAGCTCCACAGGAGGCACCTTCCAGGAAACACACAGCCAGGCAGACGAGCTCCGAGCCAGCTCCCATGTCAGAGGAAGAAAAACAGCACATCCAGTTAGTCACAGTCAGAAAAACAGGACTACACTGAAAAATAGGCTGAGCTCAAACATCTATAAAAAAAAAAAGGTGTTGATGGCAGCAGCACAGCTGATATTTCTCTCCAGGATGGAGTCACAGCCAAACAGGAACAGATCAGATGAAGCTACTGTGAGAAAAAGCAGAGAGAGCAGAACGTTAGAGATTGAACTAACAGATTCTGCAGAGTGGGAGAATAGAGATGGATTGATGAACACTTATAAAAAAGAGGTCCCTATGTCCTCCAGCAGTCTAAGCCTATAGCAGCATAACTATAGAGATAGCTCAGGATAACCTGAGCCACTCTAACTATAAGCTTTATCAAAAAGGAAAGTTTTAAGCCTAGCCTTAAAAGTAGACAGGGTGTCTGCCTCACGGACTAAAACTGGTAGTTGGTTCCACAGGAGAGGAGCCTGATAACTAAAAGATCTGCCTCCCATTCTACTTTTAGAAATTCTAGGAACCACTAGTAAACCTGCAGATTGAGAGCGAAGTGCTCTGTTAGGAACACTTTCAAAATATAACCAAAGCATGTTTATCCGCTTTTTAGTTGTGTCTTTCTGTAGATTACGCTCAAATATACCATAATGTTAACACAAAAGGAAAAAATAAAAAGACTAGATTAATGTTTAAATCCAAAGCCCAAAAAATGAGGTCCTGGATCCCATTTCTGTCACAGATCGGCAACAGAGGGGTGATAAAACATAAAGGATTTTAATGCATTTAATTTCTTATTTTCATTAGTGCAAACTGATTATATCTTTCCCAAATAAACTTTTTTTAAAGATGTTTATTATTTTTTTATATATATTTTTTATATATATAAATAAGACTATGTGGACTTTTGAGAGTCAACTTTAACAATATTGATCTGAAAATGTGAGCAAATTAATGTCCACACATGTTGCTTACTTTTTGCATTTATATAATTACTGCTGGGGGATCTTTATTTTAGATTTCCAAACATTAAGCATGTTAGCGTTTAAACAGGTTTAATTTTCATTGAGAGAAAAGCTCACATTACTTTTTTTCTTTTTTCTCCAGCTAATCCTTGATGGATTGGCTGTAGTACAGCAGCTACAATAACTGTTGGTATCTCCATTGTTGCCCTTGCAGTCGGACCCCCATTTGGCAGTGTGATGTACGATTTTGTTGGGAAAACAGCTCCTTTCCTCATCCTGGCATTCATTGCAGTCTTTGATGGAGGTGAGCAAGGCATTTATAGAGAACAAGCTTCCTCCCAAACATTTTTTACGTTATTTGACCTTTGAATTGTTTCCGGTTACCTGGTTTCAAGTAGCACTGTACTATATCTGCATATTTATGGTAATATTTATTTTTCAGCTCTGCAGCTCTTTGTTCTTCAGCCTACCAAGGTGGAACCTGAGGTCAGTGTCTTGGAGACTCATTCTTTCACAACTAAACTGCTTAAGATTACTGCCAAAGAAAGTTATAAAATCATTTAAATCATGTATGGTTGGTGAGAGAAGATGAGATGAATATGCGTAGTAAGCCTGACCAGACAGTCGGTCCCTTCCTCTATAGACCTACTGTATATTAATTATTGATAACTGTAAAAGAAATAGATTTTTAATGAAATGTTTGAATATTTAAGTAAAATTAATTTTTTATCACTATTTCATTCTGATTTTAGAAAGAACTTTTCAAAAACTTCTACTTTAATAAAATTCACCAATAATATTTATTCTGCTTTTGATGACAATATGTTTACTGAAACAAATCAGCCTCATCCCATAGGCGTGAGCTGTTTGGGTCTTTTAATGTTAATCTTTAATTTCCATTTTTGTTTTTTCTGTGTGTCTGTTTATTTTCCCCTAACAAAAGCTTGTTAATGATCCATTGTGGATTATTATGTTATTAGATAAGGTTTCTGTAACGATTCAGAACACCCATTATTTGAGGTAAGACAGACAGCGGGATTATTGAAAAAGCATTTATTTTTTAAAAGTCTGCACTGCAGCGGCTGGAACCTCTGAAGAGAGGAAAACAAAGGTTAGTGACCACTTAAATCTAAAGGAGGAAGAATAAAAAAGAGAGTCACTGACCTGCTTTATAAGTTTAGTCCATAGCCAGAGAACAAGGTAGGATCCAGCTGGTGGAATGTCCCAGATGCTTCAGCCCTGGAGAACATGCAGGAATTTGAAGTAAGATCAGGCAAACAGATCAGACGGGAAGAGGCAGGCTCAGTGGTTGAGAGGCAAAACAGGATCAGGTGATCAGAAACACTAAGGTTTTACTAAAAACACTCACCACTGTCGAGGGAGAACAAGAATAATCTGGCCCAGATGACTGGATACAAGCACTTCAAATGGAAGCAGGAGCAGGTGGATGAGATGAGCAGTGTTTAGAAACCGGGCAGAGCTAGACAGGTGAATGGAATGAATAATTAAGCCAGTCATCAGTGCCAAGATCATGACGATTTCTATTGGTCTAAGCCGATCTGCCCTTCTTTGCTTCAATTCTTACCTTCACTGTCAGCAACAGTGGGTTTCTCTTACAGGAAATTATTCTAACTTTTGATAAAAGCACTCCTCCATAGGTTCCTCTTTATTTTCCATTCTTTTTAATGATCTTCCTATTTTCTGCTCACGCCGTGATGTACAATCATTTGCCAGTGACACAGTGATCTATACGTGTAAATCTAATGTCACTGCAGTGAATACTAAGGAGTTTTATAGAATAGTTGGTGAAATATAAACTTCATAAATGTCGTCATTAAACGGCAGTAAATATGCATTAAAATGTGCTTAATTTCACGTAGGGATGCACGATATAATCGGCCCCCTATCGGAACTAATGAAATATTGCTATATGTCATCGTTATGCTACGAAATCCCCCGAAAATCCACAAAATTTTGCCATATTTTTATATGTTGATATATTAACGCGGTATCGATCTATTTTACTAACAAAATCTCACAAGAATTTTCAAAATATCACGAGAGTTTGTAACAGAACGATGAAATTTCACGAGACTGAAAGTAAAATAGATCGACACCACGTTTTTAAAAATCAATTTGATATCAGCATATGAAAATATATTTGAGTATATTATTTTTCAAAGTGTCAGAAATGGATAACAAAACTGCTATTTTCAATGACTACTTATTTTTGTGCAGCTTTAACATCGGTATCGATATCGGTTATGGTCTACATGAGTTTTAAAATATCGGCATATCGGATATCGGCCAAAATCCCAATATCGTGCAGCCCTAATTTCGCGTTCATGTTGCGCATTAATCAGCTGTTTGTTCTGCTCTCGGACGTGATGGAACAGCAGGACGCTGCCTCTCAGCCTCTATCAGAAATCTCTGCTGAGGTCTGAGCCTCGTCTGTTGAGTTAACCAGAGAGAAAGTAGAGTCCTGATTGGATAACATGCCGAAATACATCACTTCCTGTGAGGGTGAACCTCTTAGGGGTTCTAAGCCCACTGAGGGCAGGTTAATTTCACAGCAGCTATTTTCACCTGCCGTTTTTATGTTTTTTATGCTTTAACATTTGTTAATGAAATATGCAAATCTTGGAATTACTTAAGACTAATGAGCCTCCATGTTTCAGCCAGCAGAATCCGCTACTGATGTATCACTGAATTTATTTCAAAATGACTTCAATCATGTTGAATTTTGGCTACAATCAAATAAATTACCTCTCAAGAAATCTAAATCATATTTTATGGTGATATGTTTGTCCAACCCCCAAACAAACTAAATATAACATTTATTTATTCTTCACCAATTATATCTGTTGAAAAAAATGGAAATGTTTCAGTTTATCATTCATCACTTTCCTTTAACACCCATTACTAATAAAACTTAATATTGCTTAAAATGAATTTTTCAATCGATACATTCTCTGATAAGACATTAAATCATTTCCAAATGTATTCCTCCCATCTTGGATTACAGTGATATTATAATGAAACACCACACCCAGATTTATCTCTGTGCAGCTTCATCCTTCACTGATCAGAACTCACCATTGTCACCTGGACAAACAATTCTCTCTCTCTCTCTCTCTCTCTCCCTCTATACAAGAGAACTTTATTGGCTTCAATTTATCTTACTTTTGGCTTCAATTTATCTTACTTTAGTTATTCTGAAAACTCACAATGTGTCATAAAAGGGACAGATGTACCCAGTATTCAAGGTGAGACAGTCAGTAGGAAAGTTCAAAACATTTATTAGAAGAAAAACGTAAACAGACAGAACAAAATCTCAGAGCTGCTGTGGATCTGAGGACCTGCAGCGACTGCAGGAGTGGATTCGGCACTGCCCAATCACTGACACTCTGGGGGGAGAAAGAGTTAAGTGACCACGATCATCTAACAGGAGATGATTATCAGAGTGAGTCACTTACCTGGTTTGACAGTTCAGTCCATCCTCTCAATTATAGGCAGGATCAGCCGATGCACTGCCAACGACATGCGGCCCTGAACTGCCCAGAGTGTCCCCAGAGCTGCAGTCCCAGAGAACAAGGGAAAACAGATCAGACAGGAACAGTTCCGAGATCCAGGGGTCCGTAGTCCAACCAGGGGTTCCGATCCGCCGAGAAACAGACAGATCCTTGGTTCCAGGAATCATCAGAGAATTTAGGCAGGTTCAGAGTCAGACGGGTCCAGAAGCGTGCCCAGACATGCATGCATAGATGCAAACAGGCAGGCTCAGTGGTTGAGGGCCAGAGACAAGACGTGGTATCAGGATTTCTGCAGGAAACTTTAAACTGGTCTCCTCCTAGGAGCCAGGCTTACGTAAATAAAACTGACCTTCTCCATGTTTTGAGCCAAAACCCTGAGGGCCCCGCGGATAAGGATCAGGACACGATCAGAAGACAAGACAGACACAAAACCCTCTCATTCTACCGGCCGCCAGGACCCAGGACATGAACCTTGGAACCAAATAAAAATGACCAAACAGAAAACAAAACACAAAACAATGATCTGGCCCCGATCGCTCAGGCTGAACTGAATATGAATCAGAAACGCAGGTGGATAGGGTGAGAGATGATTAGGAACTGGGCAGAATATAACAGGTGAATGACATGAACAATTAAGGCCAGCAATCGATGCAGATCATGACACAGCGTTTTAGTTGTTACTAGAATAACCAAAGAAACAGCAAAACTAATATAAAGCCCATCTTACTGGAACAATCTATTTGTTTCTTAAACCATTTTCTGCCTTATAAATGCTCCTTATCAACTTTTAAGTAAGCTCTCTACCTGTTTTTGATTTTTTTTTCATTTAACAGTCCTGTGTGAATAAGTGGCTGTGGATACGGTTGTGTTTGTTTTATGTATCAACATCATTAGAAAGGAAAACATTAAATACTTTTTTTTAAATACCATGTAGATTATATGACAAATAATTGACAGCATTACATAAAACATGTATGTTGCTTTTTTTAACAGAATCAGAGACACGAGTTAAAAAAGTTTGCTAATAAATTCAGTACAATGCAAATATATGACAATAATTTAAAGCTACAGTGTGTAATAATTACAGGGATATACAGTCAGAAATGTAATATATTATACATAACTATGTTATTTTATCATCATCTACGAGCTCAGCCTCTTAACCTTAATATTTGCGTTGCCTTAGAATTCGTTATTTATAATTACATAGGAGCGGGTCTCGCAGCCATGGAGGCAGACATCTTTGCGCTACGGCAGCGCAGAGCCAACAAACTAGCGATTGCGAGATCGCCAAAATGTCACAATGATGTAGAAAAAATAACGGGTATATTTATTATCTTAAGTCTACATGAAATCTATACCCTACACAGACTAATGAAATACTATCTGTAAAATTATCTATGTAAACAAACCTCATCACTTGGGAAGTTAGGTGATGCGGACGTCGTGGAAGACATTTTGTCCCGTAACGCTCGCCGTACTGTTGGGGGGGAGAAGCGGTGGGGGGGAGATGTTCATGTTGCTGCAGTCTGCAGTCTGATCGCTAGATGTCGCTAAAAGTTACACACTGTAGCTTTAAAGGTTTTCTGAGGTATTATTGTTTAATGTGCAAGCAATTCACATATTTATATTAACAACAGTGAAAATATGCCTTTAGTATGAATACCATGCCAGGATATTGTTTTATCCAGATAGAGCATTTGTGTAACGATATTTTTAAAGATTAACTCATTTGAGACAAATAATCAATTACCAGATATGACTGCAGATAAAAGGAAGTGGTAGAAGGACAATCATGCAGCATGTTATTTTATTTTGTAGAAGTTTATTGAACAAAGTTAATAACAAATTATTTTAGTTGCATTTACTGTTTAATGGAAACGCTGCAACGCCGTGTTTACATTAATATCGAAAGTTTCTTCGGGTTTTATCGGCAACACAGCTAGGTAATAATTAAGGAACCTGTAGAGCAAAATGACTTCTTTGTTGAGTGCTGTTGATGTAAAACTTTTTCTTTATTCTGTGTTTTTCTTCTTTCGCATAGAGCCAGAAGGGAACCCCACTGCTCACACTCATGAAGGATCCGTATATTCTGCTGGCAGCTGGTAAGAAAACGGTAGCAGCTGAGCAGGTATATTTGTTTGCTCGTGTTGGAAAAAGAGCAGAAGAGTTTTCTAAAGCAGCTTTTAGTCAAAATCTGCAGAGCAGAGATGCTACCTGTCATTTAAAGCAGGCTGCTTTTTATGATTTTGTACCACATTATTATAAGGCTCCTCTTAGAAATAGCAAAACATATTTTATAGATATGTTTTTCTTTAAGCTGTTAACACTTTATAACTTATCCATAAATGTTTGTTCTGCGTTCAACACATTCTGTTTGCAGATGATTATTGTGCTCATAAATCAGGGTTCCCACACCTTTACAACACATTGCTACAGCTAGATGTTAATAAGGAACGATTTAGATTCATGTCAATTAAATAAAAAGACTTTATAGCATAGAAGTTGATTGATAGAATTCAGAGGCTAAATTTATATCCCCAATGACACGGCCGGCAACATGAGGGTTTGATGAATCTCTAAAGCAGTGATCTGAATGCAAAATTGTTAATTTCCCAAAGTCTTCTATATCAGATGCTTCACCAGGGCCATCTAGTGTGGGATAAAGATTCGATAGCAAAGGTCGCTGCAGTCTACAGTCTTAAATGTTTAAAATGATTGGCTTAAAGGAGTTATCTAAACGTATTACGTTTTTGATACCATTCTGTTTCTGTAATTTTTTTTTGTCTTTTACCAGGCCTTAGCTTAATGAAAACGTCTTTGGGGGAAATCTGCCAAATAGTTCCTGAACGGAAAAAACAGTCCTCTTCTTGACACCTCCAATATTGTTATAGAAGTTTGACTCCACAACTCAAAAACACCCAAAAGTTCTTCAACCTGTGACAAGCCTCTATTAGCTCCAAAATCCTTTTACTCAAACCACAAGGAAATAACTATATTATATTACTATTTAAACGTTACTGAGCAGTTCTCTACAACCATTACACAAGATCAAAATAACACTCTAAAATACTATGGTTACGTTAAACTGTACAAATAGAAAGTTACAGGCAGGTTGCCGGCTGGTTACAGGTGTCCTAATGTTGATGTGAATCCTCCCCGATTCTGTCATCAGACTATGGGGCGACAGTGGCGTTGGATGTAGGAGTTTGCCCTGAAATCGAAGGATTGACGATTCAAGCCCCGACTCCGACTTTCAGTGTCGTTGTTTCCTTGGGCAAGGCACTTCACCTGCATTGTCTACTGATGGTGGTCAGAGGGCCCAGTGGCGCCAGTGTACGGCAGCCCCGCTTCTGTCAGTGAGCCCCAGGGCAGCTGTGGCTACAATGTAGCTTGCCACCATCAGTGTGTGTGTGAATGGGTGAATGAATGTAGTGTAAAGCGCTTTGGTCAAGTCTCCTGACTTGAATAAAGGCGCTATATAAGTAGCTACATGCCATTTACCATTTAAATTTACTAGTCTGCTGCCACGAGCAGGCTACCACTAGCTTACTTGATGTTGCCATGACAACGTAACTTCCATTAAATTGTGTTAGGCCTTAAAATAATGAAATTAAACTCCAAATACGCCTAATAGTAAAATGAAAAAGTCAAAATCATTTCCCAAAATATGAATAAAAAATGCCACCTTCTGCGGTCCTGGTGTTCTCTATTTAATTAGTCCCTAATAAACACTAATGGATGAGTAATTAAGTGTTTGCAGATGTATTGATAACATATCTATGAACTTTTTATCAGCTATCAATAGGGTAAGTTTTGTTAAAGTGTGGTGCCTTTTTTACCTTTATCAAATGTTTGGAGACACATTAACAGTTGTGTTTCAGGAGGTTTCATCCATCCAGTTTGCTTACATTCTTGGTAGATACCAGAGTTTTTTAATTTTATCATGTCCTTTTATTTTTATTTTCCCTTTTGGATATGTAGGAAATGTTACGTATCCAAATTTATACATTATTCAAAATCTTTATATTTACAAACAACAAAGTAGGAGTCAACAACACAAATCAAGAAATGCAAAATGCACCATTTTTTCATCAAAACATTTCAATTAAAGCTACTTTTTGTTTCTTCATTATCAACAACCATTGGCAGCTTTTACCATGGCTCATTACCCAAGGCCAGCCTCCCATGTCTGGTAGGGAGTTGATGACGCATCTGCTTAGATGATTGAGGGATTATTAGGTAAAAAATATATATATTTTTTTTTACTTTGTGGTCCCCATGTCCTCCAGCAGGCTAAGCCTATAGCAGCATAATGATAGAGATAGCTCAGGATAACCTGAAGCTTAACGATAAGCTATATGGAAAAGGGAAGTTTTAAGCCTACCCTTAAAAATAGACAGGGTGTCTGCCTCACAGACTAAAACTAAACTGCAGTTTAGGACCTATTTTTGAGGCGCCCTTGCACCCACCCTGATGTTTTGGTTTAATTTCTTGTCCTTCTTCATAACCCTCTCTTCCTGCCCTTTTCGGGGTTTGTTTGTTTTGTTTTTCTCGACTATTTAAGGAATTTGCTATCTCCCCTTTGGGAGGGAGTTCTGCTAAGATTTTGAAGATGTTTGGGTTTTTCTTCTCTTTTGAAAATGCTTGTGATCATTCTTGTTTGGGTTTTATCAGCTCATTCTTTTAAATTTAGTTTTCTTATTATTATCATATGCTTTTCATGGTACATATCCTATTTATTACATCAGGAAAATTACCGTATTTTCATGACCATAAGGCGTACCGGACTAAAAGGCGCACTCTCAGTTATGTGTCCCATTTCTGTATTTAACACACACATAAGGCGCACCGGACTATAGGGCGCGTTTTTTATATACAGGTACATGTCCTCTACTACCTTTAAATACCTCTACTGCGTATTTAAAAATACAGCGGGGGCAAAACTGAGTATGACTGCTTTATTCATGTATTTATTACAAAGTATTAATCAAACCTGGCAGCTGGCCGTGAGACAGACACATCGCAGATGACACAGCGCTGTGATCACTCCTAAATTAACTTAAAATCCTGAAACCTGCCGACGGAATATGTTCGCTTTTATGGGTGCCTGCAGTTTAAATTATTTAGATGAAAAACACCTGCCATCCACCGCGGTGAACCCGGAGGCTGCCCAGCCTAGAGGCTGCTGATGAAAGGATTTCTCCTGTCGGTGCACCGCTGGTATGTGGGGGTCTGAGCGCCTCCGACAGAAATAGATAATCTGGATGAACTGACTGCAATTATGAAGTTTTCAGGTGGACTTTCTCACTTAAAAACATATTAAAACTACTTTATTCCCACTGATCACAGCAAATATAGCTGCAAGATTTAGATTATTTAGATGAAAAAACACCTGCCAGCCACCGCGCTGAAGAGGAGGAGACCCGCCCGGAGGCTGCTGTTGAATTAAGTTTTCAGGTAGAAAAATAGAGCGGGAGCAAAACTGAGTATGATTGTGCTTTATTCATGTATTTATTACAAAGTATTAATCAAACCCATCAAAGTCATCATCCTCTGTTTCTGAATAAAACAGCTGCGCTAAATCAGACATGCCAATTTCCCCTTCTTCGCTGTCAGTCACTTTCCTTGCAGCGCGGCTCCTCAGAAATAATGCCGGCTTTTGCGAAAGCTTGAACAACAGAGCCAGCAGACACTTTAGTCCATCTACAATCCATCCGCAAACTGTGGCGTAACTTGCCCGGCGCTGCCTTCCACTTATCCTGAAACTGTGGTCTCCGTCTGTCATCCATCGCTCCCACGCCGCTCGCAGCCTTACTTTGAACGGCCGCTTCAAACCGATGTAGAGCGGTTGAAGCTCCTTTGTCAGACCCCCGGGATAACGGCGAACACAGCGTTCATTTGATTCACCTTTTTTTCACATCGGCTGTGAGATGGGCACGCAGCGATGGTGATGCGTGGAAAAAACCACCTAGTCTTCTCACATACACCTGCCTCAGCCACGCTTTCATCATCTCCTCATCCATCCAGCCTTTTCCATTTGCGTTAATATCATATGTCATCAGAGCGCTGTGTCTGTCTCGCTGTCAGCTCCCAGTTCAGCTTCTCTGATTGGTTGATGCGGCGCGTCCAGCAGCAAAACTTCAATTTTTCCATCTGAGCAGCAGCAGCGCGTTGGCGGTGCGTCAGATGCTTAAACGCTCCCGACGTGCTTCACCAAAACGCGCTGCGGGACCTTTTGCTGCACCTATATGCGCGTCAACCATTGACTTTGCATGTAAACTCGCTGCTTCTGCTGCACCTGCTGGGTCCGGTTCACACCGATGTCGAGCGGTTGAATAACAGCGAGCACAGGGTTAATTTGTTTCCCCATGTTTTTCACATCAGCTGTGAGATGGGCACGCATGGAGTCACAGATTAACAGCGATGGTGATGAGTGGAAAAAAACACCTGGTCTCCTTACATTCAGCCACTCTTTCATCATCTCCTCAATGAGGTGGTCTCAAAAGTCGCAGTTACAACACACATAGGGCGCACCGCACCATAGGGCGCACCGCACATTTTGAGGGAAAAAAAAAGACGTTTAAGTGCGCCTTATAGTCGTGAAAATACGGTAACCGTTTACTCAGATTTACTCCTTGCAACTCTTTGGTTCCATTCAGGTCTTAGTTTTCCCATGATGTTCAGCCCATGCCACCTCTGGTATAGTAGATATTTTGGTTCAATTGATGCTACTGTTAGAAAACTTCAGTGACTTCTTTCATATTCCACTTGGGGAGATTTTTAAGAAGCATGGCATGTCTTACCACTTCTATGCTGATGACTGTCAAATTTACATGCCTATTGCCAAGAACGACCAAAGCCCCCTGACACCTCTGCTCCACTGTCTAAGTGATGTCAAAGCTTGGTTAGCCCAGAATTTTTTAAAGCTGAATGAGGTTAAAACAGAAGTTATGGTCTCTGGACCTGCCCACAAGAACTTAGGGATCACCCCAAAATGATTTGCGTTCCAAAGTCACCAGCCTTGGTGTCATCATAGATAGCGATTTTAAATGTGATAAGCAGATCAATGGCGTTTTAAAATCATGTTTTAATCATTTTCATCTTTTGTCCAAAGTTAAGCCATTTTTATCTTTTAATCTTTTTGAGCAAGTTGTGCATGCATTTATTTCAAGTCGTCTGGACTACTGCAATGCACTTTAATCACTTTCCAGCTTTAGCAGTCATTCCAGAACGCTGAAGCATGACTTTTAACAGGCACAAAAAAACTTGAACACATCCCCCTCGTTTAAAACATTGTTGTTGGACTGACACCTCGCTTTGAGCTCTGAGGGCCAGCTCCAGCTTGTGACTCCTAGGACAAACCAGAGGGGACAGAGCCTTCTCCGTTATCGGCCCTAAGCTGTGGAATGCTCTGCCCCTCGATATACGTATGGCCCCCACCATGTAGAGTTTTAAATCTCGTCTTAAGACTCACTTTTATTCTCTGGATTTTAGCATTGTTTAAGTTGTGTGGTCTCCTGTGGCTTTGTATTTATTTTTTATTCTATTTATTGTTTTAAACTATTATTTATATTTATTGTTTTATACTTACCTTGTTGTCTATGCAGCACTTTGGAAATGTTTTGTTGTTTAAATATGCTATATAAATGTATAAAAAAGTATATAAAATGTTAGTAATTGGGAGGTCTGATACAAAATTTTGTAATTAAAACAAGCTTCAGAAATCTTCAGGAACATTAGGGTTTTGTTTTGAATGGACAAATATAGAGGGGGATGTACAGTGGGTAGCACCACTGCCTTGCAGCTAGAAGGTTCTGGGTTTGATTCCCGGCTTGGGGTCTTTCTGCATGGAGTTTGTTCTCCCCGGTCACTCCATCTTCCTCCCACAGTAGGCTAACTGGCTTCTCTAAATTCTCCTTAGGTGTGAGTGTGTGTGAAGGGTATTTTGTCTCTGTGTTGCCTTGTGATGGGCTGGCACCTGTAGATAGCTGGACATAGGCCCCCCTCGCAACCCCAGCAGGGATAAAGTGTGACAGAAAATGGATGGATGGACAATTATAGAATGCAAATGAGTATTTTTTGTCCTTGATAATAACCTGTACTGGGCTTTGAAAGCCTTAATGAAACACTTTTTTGATAAAAAAAAAAATAAATAAGGAAGAATAATTTCCGTATGATGGTAGCTAATTTCTTTATGTATAAGATCTACCATAGTGAAGTCCAGTCAATAACAAAAGAAAGCTAAATGAGTTTCTCTGTGCCACAGGTTAGCTGAAGAGTAAAAATGAACCATAACTGCGATCTGTAATCTTCATCCCCAGGTGCCATCTGCTTTGGAAATATGGCTATTGCCATGTTGGAACCAACGCTACCAATCTGGATGATGGAAACCATGTGTGCCAGGAAATGGCAACTAGGTACAGAACCGCTTCTAAGCAGTACACAGAAACTACAATAGGGCACATCCCACCTGCCAAACACCCCAGAAACACACATGTTGGATAAAAGCAACCATATTTTACTCTCTTGGTATAAAGTATATACACAGATGACAGGTTCCCCTAGAAAAACAAGGCTCCTTATTTTTAATGATTTATCAAAGGGGATTAGGTTTATCGTTCCACAGATAAATCATCAAATCACCATAAGAAAAGAAAATAAAAGAAAGCTGATCAGCAGCTAAAAGTTTTACTGATATAATGATGATGGTTGGTTGCATCTGAGAGATGCAACCAACCATCAAAGATATCAAGGATTTTTTTCACATTATTTTGAGCAAACATCAAGATTAATATTTAAATCTTGAGTTGTCAAGTACATTTTGATCCGTCTTTAATTTATTTTAGACTCCTATAGGTTTGGGGGTTCAGCATAAACTCCACCTCGCTGTGATCTACAGGGAGCTGTGGGTGATGTGAATTAGGTTTTATCAGACCACAGGCCGCAGCTCACACAGGCTAAGCATCTCAATGTGGATTTTACCCGACCAGAACATATTGTGGTCCAGGTTCGCTCTGCGCTTAAAAAATGTCAACATGAGGTGTCTTTTTATCAGCACTTGCTTCCCTCCAGCAGGTTTTCATGAACTAACAGCAATTTATGCATCTTCAGTTGTTCTTTTATATGTTTCTACCTGAGCTGTGATGTCTGCAGCTCCTCACTTAAATGATGCATCTGGTTGAAGTTAGAAGGGTTTTAGAAGCTACAAAATAAACCCTATATTTTATTTCTGGGAACCACAGTGAAAAGACACCTGGCAATTTTTGTTTCCTTAACCATTGCAGCAATGAGCTGCTGTAGTCTTCAGAGCATTAGTCATTTTTTATATAAATCCATCAAAGTATGGCTCTGGGTTATGCCTACCTTGACAGATACTGTATGTTTTAAATATTGGTGTAAAAATCTGTTTATAAGATATTTATCAGATATTGTTGACATTTTCTTTATGAGGCTTGCCAAAGCTACAGCCTTTCTTTGTTTTTTTTCTGCACTCCTGTATATGAAGTCTGGGTCCGATAGGAAAGGATGAAAGGGGGACAGGATATTAGGTTGTCACATGGTGGCAGATGGAGAGGAGACTTCATTACAGACAGCTCAGTGCATACAGCAGCTCCGTGTGGGACTCTGATAAACATCTCCTTATCTTTGAATTTCTGCCCACACCTCTGTTTCCTTTTTGTCTCCGTGTGCGGCCCAGGCATCGCTTTCCTACCAGCTTCCATATCCTACCTTATTGGAACCAACATTTTTGGATCATTGGCACACAAGATGGGAAGGTAGGGAGGGAAATTGCCCTTATCTATTTTCCTTCAGTCTTCCTTTGTGGACGTGATTTCTGCTTCCGCTCCTTTAAATGAGTTTCATTAGTTTCTGTGGTTGCTGTTATTGAAGCTTTGACATAACGTGGTGTCATATTTTCAATATAAATATAGGGTTCCTTCAGAAAATGTTGCTCTTTGGCAACTTTTGTGCATTTGAATGCATTCATCTTATATAGATTCTATTCATATAACTTATGGCCGGTCAAACGTTGACCTGTGAAAACACACCCATGTGGCTGCATATTAGGATAACAGGTCGGAGGGTGTTTGAGCTTAAATCATGGTAAAACAGTTAGATCTGCACCCATATGGAGTAAATTCAAGACTTCCATTCAAAGTACAAGAAATTATTAACAAAATAAATGACTTCCAGCTTATTTGAAATAAAACTCGTAACTAAGGCCAGTGAAACTCAACTAAAATAATAACTATTTAGCTCTGTCATGTAAACCCAAAATGTAAGACCGAGTATTGAGGCAAGACAGACAGTGGGAAGTTACTAAACGTTTATTAAAACAGGCAGGCACAGCAGTTGAGAGGCAGAGACAAGACAAGGTACCAGGAGAAACTGCTGAGCTTTAAACTTGCTCCCTCCACTGAGCCAAAACAGGAACAAGGCATGCTTCAGTGGATAGTTGTCGGTGTAGTTCTGTTTCTCTGACTGTGACTGGCTGGATGTGCTCTCTTCATCCTCTGACATGGGAGCTGGCTGAGAGTTCGTCTGCCTGGCTGGGTGTTTCCTGGACGGGGCCGCCTTTTACAGTTGCCTTTTGTATCTCTTCTTCTGTCTCCTTGAACCCCAGTCAGCCTCATCAGATGGCCGCTCACACTGAGCCTGGTTACACTGGAGGTTTCTTCCTGTCACAAGGGAGTTTTCCTCTCCACTGTCGCTACAAGCATGCTTAGTGAGAGGGATTGCCTTCGAGTCAATGAGTCGATGCAATCAACTAGTTTTCCTTAGATAGAAAACTTTCAATTTGACTGTATGATCTGGTGATAAAATGATATGTGTTGTGAATTGGCGCTATAGTAATACACTGAATTGAATTGTATTAAATTCATATTTCAGCAATCCAATTTCATGATCGGATAAGGAAATCCATAACTGTTGATGTCCCAGAGGTTGTCAAAAATTCATAAAAAACACTCAACATATTTTAGCATCCAGTTAGCCTGCAGCCCTCCTCTAGTAGCAGAGAAACCCCAGCTTGCAGAATCTTGGTCCAAACTTAGCTTAATAAAAGTACATCCATTTAAATATTTATTCTTATGGCTGTGAGGCAAACCAGCAATGAGCATGGAATTGTCCAGTTTAACTATTACAAATGTGAGGAAATAGAAGAACAAAAGATGTCTGGCTATTATATAGAGCAGCGGTCCCCAACCTTTTTTGCACCACGGACCGCTACATGACAGACAATATTTTCACGGACCGGGGGGGGGCGTTTGCGGACCGTTTGTTACTTGATCGTGTTTACCCAATCAAACCCCCCCACCCCCGCGCTTACCGGCCGGGCAGGGGGGTAACTACGATAAGGTAAAACGATACGACTGGCATAAAATCAAATACAAAGAACATAAAAATAAAACAATAGGCCGGTCCCATCGTGGCGTAATCAGAGACAATGACAAACGAAGTGTGCTCCTGATGTCCAGTCTGCTCCGTAGCTTTGTTTTGGTCGCTGTAACAGCAGAAAATCCTGCTTCACAAAGATAGGACGTCATAGATAGGATGAGTCTTGAACTGAATTAACCTGTGTCAACAGGCACAGATGCACCGACTGATGTAACTGGAAGAGAATACCGCAATTTATTATATTTTTCAAAATAAAAAAATACTTTTTTTTTTTTTCTGTGCGGCCCGGTACCAAATGACCCACGGACCGGTACCGGTCCGCGGCCCGGTGGTTGGGGACCGCTGATATACAGTACATGTATATCATTTGTATGTTTGCTCACAAGGGTCAGGACTTAAATCAAGTTAACATTCATTTTTGTCTCCCATTTAAAACAGTAAAAGTTGATCAAATGGTTGAACAAAGTAAAATCACTGCATAAATAAAATATTATCTAGAATAAAACCCATTGTGACATCATCCTTCATTTGGCAAGACAACCAGAAAAGCCTTAACATGGTAGCATTTGATTAAACAGAGAATCCACTCAATGTTAGGACCACAATCTACTCCTGATGTCAAGAACTCGGAGCAGAAGGACCCATTATCTGAGGCAAGATAGATAGTGGGATAATCAAAAAGCGTTTATTAAAACAACGGATGAGCGGAGCAGCAGCGGCTATCACAGGAAACTCTGTAAAAGGAAACATATGTTAGTGACCACGGAGAATGATACGAACGGAGAATGATACGAACGCGTGAGTCACTAACCTGGTTTAACAGTTCAGTCCATAGCCAGAGAACGAGGTAGGATCCAGCCGGTGAGCTGCAAACAAGATGCCGCAGGTGCTGCCCAGAATGTCCCAGATGCTGCAGCCCCAGAGATTGGAGAACCAGAGGATATCCGGAGCCAGGTCATGCAAACAGATCAGAACAGGAACAGGTAGGCTCAGAGGTTCAGGAGTCCGAAGACAGTTTAGGCAAACTGTGCAGATGGGAACAGGCAGGCTCAGTGGTTGAGAGGCAGAACAGGTCAGGATCAGGAGATCAGAAACACTAAGGAACTCTAAATACACTCTCACCACTGGCTAGAGAAAACCAGAATAATCTGGCCCTGAACACTGAATAAAGGCACCTTAAATAGAGGCAGGAGCAGTTGGAAAAGATGAGCAGTGATTAGAACTCGGCCATAGTTAGACAGGTGAATGGAATGAGTAGTTAAGCAAGTCATCAGCACCAAGATAATGACACTTGATGCCGTCCATAGCAGCACAGCAGGTCTGCCAAGAGGCTAGCAGGCCTATTAGGCTTCATCCAAACAGAGCAAATGTGTCTGTTTTTACTGTAAAACATGATTTGTCTTGTCTGCCCTCATAGGTGACAAATTCCCACACACTTTGATTTTATACATTACTTTACTCTTGTAAATTCTTAGCCAGACTTTGCCAGATTTTTTTTTCTGATTACAGACATAAATGAATACAGACCAACCAAAATAATTTCAAATGATTAATTATCCAATTATTTAATACTTATGGCTGTTTTACCTCTGTAAACAAAAAAGAAAATAAATTATTACAGCAAAGTCAATCAGGCTTTCATTTTAGGCCATTAGGAGGGTTAGGTTCTGCCTCTTAGATGATCTAGATGTAGCAATCAGAACTCTTTAATCTTTCACTAATTTATGCATTAAAATCACTCACCTTTCCCGGCCTTTCAACAAGGCACAAAAGAGGATTTAAAACATATTTTCTTTGTTCACTTGTGGAAATCCTTGTGAAAACCTTCTACCTCATGCAGCCATACTTAAGCTGGACACTTTAACAGGAAGCTCTGCAATTTCAACACAGGAGAACCTTAAGTGCACTGATTCATGCTGTAGTTTCCAGATTGTAGGAAATACCGCCCTTATCATCAACTTCAGACCATTTAGACCAATAACAGATTGTATTCTGATTGACTAACTCACTTATGGAAAAGAACACAAATGTTTGTTTTACCTACAGATCTGGTCTTTGTTTGCATGTCCTCAGCACTCCAATGTAACCAAGCTTTCTATTGCGGGTCATTGAGCTAAGGTTTTAACAAACATTGTCACTGATTTAAAATGCTAGCATTCCTCTTTAACCTAGCTGCTATTGTTTTTTCTTTGTTTTAAGTACTGTTTGTAATGTTTGTACTTCAGCACCTCTGAAAGGGAGAGTTTTCTCTCTGAGGGTTTTGCATAAGATAAGGAATGATTAAAACTACAGGCTGGATCAGAGACTGTGAAGCTTTTTATCTTACCAAAACTCCCAGACCAACACACATTTACCTGGATTTGAAATCTAAGGTTAACTATTGAGCAAATAACTATTGCTGGTATGTATAACATATGCTGATGAGGACCAAAATAATACAAGAGTTTGAAATAGCATGCTTTAGCTGAGGATAAACTTGGCCTTTGTTACACTATGAAATGCTCACTATCCTGAAGGAGCTTAAATTAAAATAGCTACTAGTCCCTCCATATTTCACAAGGTGGGAGGAACCTATTTAAGATACCATCTATCTCTATCATTTGTTTGTTGGAGAGAGGATCTCATCACTGGACTAGAAACAGTGCCAGGCTCTTCTTAGACAAGGTTATTAGTGAATAATATAAGGTCATGAGAAATAGTCACCATTTTTTATCTTAAATAGATAGTTTAGGCAGTTTAAGCAACTGGACGTGAAGTTTTCTCCTCTCATCCAAGAGGTTTCCTCAAATCTAACTAGTGGGGCGGAGCACTGAGATTAATATACTATAGGTGTAACAAAGAATTAGGGGAGACAAAAGGTGATTCTGATCCCAATGGGAGGGGGTTAATGGTCGTTCTGATGGGTTGATAACTCCCTCATGGAAGTGTGAGGCAGGTGGGGGCGGCTGGGAGTGCTGTCCTGAGGAATTGGACGTCCTGTGTTGAGCCATGTGCCTGTGTAGCGGTTGCTCGGTCTCTGCAATGTAAATGTCTGTGCACTCTTCACTACACTGAACGGAGTAAACCACGTTGTTGGTCTTGTTATTGGATGTCTTGTCTTTGGAGTGAGCCAGTTTTTGTCTCAGGGTGTTGCCAGGTTTGAAGAGCACAGGAATCCAGTGCTGGTTGAAAATCCTCCTGATTTTTCAGAGACTCTAGCAACATAGGGGATGACGATGTTCCTTCTTCTTTCCTCTTCCTTCTCAGCAGATCTCTTCTTGTTGGTTTTTATAAAAGCCCATCTGGAATAACCACAGTTCTTCAGGGATGTCCTAAAGTGTTCCTGTTCTCTGATCTTCCCTCTGTTGGTGGTGGGAATGGTTTCTGCTTGTGTCTGGAGGGTTCTGATGACGCAGTTTGTGTTCCAGTGATGAGTCAAACAGAGGCATTGGTCAGTGTGTGTGGGTTACCTATAAACTTCTATGTTGAGCTGTCTGTCTTCCAGAAAGCCAAGGCTTTCACATCTTCCTCCGGCCCTCTCTCTGGCATGGCCCTATCCATGAGCCCGCTGCACTGTTCTCATCCTTCCAAAGCACTGTGCAGCTTTTTAATCGGCCAAGAGTGGCTGTATTTAAGAGTCCAGAAAAAAAACCTTTCTGACCGGATCTCCAGAAGGCCCTGCCACCTGTAGATGCAGGATCTATGCTTAGTTTGTAGCGCCTTATTTTTAGGAGTTGTCGAGAGCTGTATTAAAGGAATAGTACACCCAAAACATGATTAGCCTTCATTTTCTACTCACCCCCATGCTGAACAAAACTCTGGAGTACTTTTCTGATATCTCAAATGCATCTGGAGATCTGGGAGGCTTCTTGCTGTCTGCTGACATTCAAATAATGGAGGTCTATGGTGCCCGAGACAGAAAGGTCCATAAAAGTCCACAAAAAACGTGTCAATATTCCTCCATACTGCTCGTCCAATGTAATCCAAGTGTCCTGAGTGGGTAGCATCCAGAATTTACTCGAAACGAAGTCATTTAGAATGTTTTTAGAGCATAAACAGTAGTGCATAGGATTTCCTAATAGCGCCCCCATGCGCGCTCACGATTCTACAGAAGCCGGCAGATCTCCAGATCTCCAGATGCATTTGAGATATCAAAAAAGTACTCCAGAGTGTTGTTCAGCATGGGGGTGAGTAGAAAATGAAGGCTAATCATGTTTTGGGTGTACTATTCCTTTAAGCCAGTGCCTACAGGCGCTGCCATGTTGGTGATATTAGTGAAGTTGGTTTCTGTTTTATCAAATCATTATATAAAATATTATTTTACCAAATTATGCATTAATTACCTCTTGGATTTGCATTGTGAGATAAACTTTGACTCTAAAACATAAATCTATTCTTTCATTTTATTGATAATGATTTTCAGCCATTTTTTTCCTCCTGATTTACATCTGGCTTAGTTGAGTTGAGTTTCACTAATTTAATCAGGGTTGTTTAACTGAAATATGTTTGATTAAGGGTTGAATGATTGTTGTTTATTGTTGATCATAGCCACATGCATCACAAGTGTCATAACCACGTGACGTCATTACAGGCCTTTCAGCTAATAAACTAGCTGATGCTTTTTAAACATCTTAGATTAGTTCACTTATATTTTTTGTTAATTTTGAGAAATAACATCAACATCAATCATCTCAGTTAAATTGTCGTGTATTTATCAACAAACTTTAAGTGTAACTGTATAACAGTCTATAGCAGTAAAAATGCATTAAATATCAGGACTTTCTAACAAAAATGCTAACATTTTATAACTTTCAACCAATCTGAAGGTTAAATAACCTAAATAGTATGATAACAAATAAAATATATATGTGTTGTTGTTCTTATATAATTATTTATTCAAAATTTGAGGGAAAACATGTTTGAATTGAAAAGGGGGTTAATTTTGTTGATACATGGTTTCTGATTAAATGCGATTAATTTCAATTAATTAATTAGAGACCCTGTAATCAACTTGATTAAAAGTTTAAGTCGTGTCCCACCACTATCTAAATAGTTGGATGCAAATGATGGACATAAGTGGACAAAAAGTTTGCTCTAGGTTCTCAGTGTCACTTCCTTTTTTATAAAGTAGGACAATAATTCATAAAAAAGGTGATTGGAATTCTATAACTCAAAGTTTTTGCCCATGAGCAATGATCAACTTAACGGCAACATTCTATACCCAGCTATTGTAGCATCTATCTAGGCTAGAGCTGCCAGTCTGGTAAAGAATTTGGTTGTTATTTCAAATTTTAAGTGGTAAATGTTTAATAAAGTGTGACATAAAGCTGAGTAAAACTAGACTAAAACCTTTTAATGTTTTAGTTTTATTTAAAACAGACTAAAACAATCACATATGGTAATGGCTAAAATGTGACTAAAACTAACAATAGTTTTAGTCACTACAGTATAAAATAAGTCATAAGTCAGTATAATTTGTGCTAATATAGAATCGGGTAAATATCGGTATCGGCAAATCGAAGTGGAAATGAAGAATCTGTATTGGGACACCCCTAGTTAATGAGTTTCAGCCCGACACCACTGAAACATCCAGCAGCTGATAGGAGGGTTTACCTTTGTACCAGGATGGCATATAAATTGATTCAAGCTGAAATAACCAAACACATATTTTGTTTTTTATTGAGGATATGTTTAAAATAAATATTATGAACAATAAAAAAATAGATTTTCATGTTATATGTAATAAATTTGTTTACATGAAGGTAACAGTTCTTTGTTTTTCAGATGGCTTTGTGCTCTCATTGGAATGGTGGTGGTTGGCTTCAGTGTTATATGTGTAAGTATATAAAGAGGAACTGACGTGAAACCAGAGCTGAACTCAGTAGAATTTCCCAGAAGCTAAACTTATTGAACCATGGCTACTGTTGCCTTCTGTCTGTTTAAGGTTCCCTTTGCCAAAGACATCTATGGTCTAATTCTTCCTAACTTTGGTGTGGGTTTTGCTATTGGTGAGTTTCTCACATCTCCTCACTTTGCATATTTTAATAATTTCAATTAAAAATGATCAATAATAATGATTTTTCACTCTGTGCTGCAGGTATGGTGGATTCCTCCATGATGCCTATAATGGGTTACCTGGTGGACCTGAGGCATGTGTCTGTGTATGGCAGTGTGTATGCCATTGCTGATGTGGCGTTCTGCATGGGATTTGCTTTAGGTAAACAAATAAAGATACAAACTTTTAACAATTAAAACATTTTAGGGTTACAGACCATTTAAGCTACTCTGCAAAATAAGATTCAAAACCAGTAAACAATCATTTAAATTATGTGTATTTGCCCTTAATTTGTGCAGACAAATCAGTGCAAATAGGATAAAAGTTATTCATAAAGATGACTTTTCATCTCGAAAATAAAATGCATTTTTTTTACTTTTAACTAAGTAAATAATAAAATTGCAATTGCACAATTTGTAAATTGCTGAAAATATGTTAAATATGTTATGTAACATAAAATTTTGCATTAATTTTCAAAAGATGTCAGACAAAAAAGCAACAGAATTCAATTAGGGATGGATGGATGGATGGATGGATGGATGGATGGATGGATGGATGGATGGATGGATGGATGGATGGATGGATGGATGGATGGATGGATGGATGGATGGATGGATGGATGGATGGATGGATGGATGGATGGATGGATGGATGATGGATGGATGGATGGATGGATGGATGGATTTTTAAATTTCAAGATATCCCTGCAAAAAGTTTTAATTTATATATTAAAAAGCGTTTGTACAATTACTTTTTCATTTCAGACTCATAACTACATTTTTTGAAATGAGAAAAAAACTACTGCTGAATATAATAAATATTCAGCTTAGCTTTGAAATGTTTTTATGTATGTGTTTTCTGAATATAGGAATTCACACTCTGCTGCGAATCATACTTGTGCATACTGTAGGTCTTGGCAGGAGGGAGCCAAAAGAACCATATGATCCGCAAAAAGTAGACACTAGATCCAATTTCCCTGTACCAGACCCTGGTATGTCATCAAACCCCCCCCCCCCCCCCTGGAGTTTATTTTTTTACCACCTCGGTGACTCCAACCTGGGTGATGTACGAATCCAGCCCTGAGCACCCCGTCTATTCTTCGATCATAGCAGGTGTGTCACCTGGATTGAAAAGATCCTCAAAGAATTCTTCCACCGTGTCCTCTTAGTAGGGCTGGGTATCATCTGGGATGAGCCGATTCGATACGATTCTCGATATGGCTCACCTTGATTTGATTTGACTCCAATATAGAAATTTATTACTTTCAAATTAAAGGGGAACGCTGTTTTTTTACATTGGAATATCTTCAGAACAGCTCCAAATGACACAAAACTCATATGAGTGAGTAGAACATGATGTAATAACGTAAAATCAAGGGCCAAATGTAAAAAAAAAAAAAGAATGGCGTTCTCCTTTTAATGCTCAAAGTCCATTCAATCAACAAACCAGCCAAATATTATGTTTATGTTCAATTTATTCAACACTGATATAGTAAACAAAACAATAAAGTGAATTTGGTTCAATGGATTTCACATATTACAGAAACCAAAATTTATCTTCACTGTTTTAAACATAACAGAAAAAGTGCATCTATATTGGTTTTGACTAAACATACTGAAACCAGGAGTAACACCGGCTCTCACTAACTTAACTGCTGGCTGAAACATCAGTACTGAGGAAAAACAGAACAGAATGTCAATCTGACATTGACAAAGAACTCTTCCTCAAACATAAAAAAATTATTACAAATGCACTTCTATTCCATAATATGTTTGTTTAGAAACAGTAGTCGGTCAACATGTCCTGGGTAAAGCGAACTTCTCTGTGCAGTGACTGTATCTCCTGCAGTAGAAAATAGAGGTTCTGAAGAGACACTTGTTGCTGGAATACACAGGTAGTTTTTTGCAAGTGAATGCAAATGTCTTGCTTGTTGATATTCACACAAGTGTTGTCCTTCACTGGCACATCATTAGGCTCAGTTTCAGCCCGTTCCTATAGAAGTAAATAAGAAGAAGAAAAATCAGGTTTAGTATAACATGTATTTGTGAAATTAAATTTACCATAAGTTAACAATCTGCCATGTGTCTAACCCCCACAAATTTAACATTATAGAAGTACACATTAAAAGCATTTTTTAAACCTAAACATCTGACTATACATTTTAGCAGGGTAAGAAAAAAATATTTGTCTTTATAAATTAGTAACTCAGTGATAATTTAATCAAATACATCACATGAAATGATTGTTGGCTTTCTCCTGCCTCTAGAACTACCCTCATGTAGATGTCCTAGTCAGCATGGTGCCTCTGTAGGTGAGGGCGCAAGTTGGTGGTGTTTCCAGTATAGCGGACTACACCGTTAAAATATTTACATAATGCATTTGTGTTATCGAGTTCTTGGCTCTTTTGATTGACTTTAAAACCAAAATGTGCCCAAACTTCGGACTTTAGAGATGAAGGCGCTTCAACAATCCTTTCAGCCATGCGCAAATTCTTCCTCGCTGTGAACAGTAACGGCGCGCTGTTATAACGGCTCCTAGGGGTAGGATGGTATATCGATATTGAAAACACAATTTAATATTTCATATTATTGAAATAATAAATAGGTTTTTTTTAAATCAATATTAATTTTTATAGCAATTTTTATGCAGAACCCTACCTCTTACATGTTCAACAGCTCCCCACTCCCACTGAAAACAGTGTTAGTTTCCCCTCCAGAGGCGCCAGACGATTTTCTAGAATTCCTTTAAGGCCAACCAATAGTCTTCATGGCCTCTCCAAACTTGCAGGCCAGAGATTTTGCCTCTGCAACTGCATAGGCAGCAGCATGCTTGGCCCTTAGGATACCTGCTTGCTGCCATAGCAATCCTATAAGCCAGTGGTTCCCAAAGTGTGGGGCGCGCCCCCTAGGGGGGGCGCAATGCCATTGCAGGGGGGGCGCGGGAAGCGGTATGGATGAATGAAAAAAAACAACAACAAAAAAACTCTGCTTGCTTGACTGAGCATAATGGACAGTTGTGACACTGCAACCCAGATTTGAGAAGATCTGCAGCAAAAAGCAGGTTCACTACAGCCACTGAAAAGATGGGAGGATTAAAGTACAAAGAAAAAAACTCTCAGGGAGCTGTTCAATGTTTTCACTCCATTTTGCACAGAGGCTTTTTTAATGTATTTATGATAGCAAAGTTAAATATTGTTACAAATAATAAAAAAAGAAATATGTTTAAAATAACACAGACAACAAGGAATCCTCTTCTAATCTACATTATAGAACTATGAAAAAAATACAGTTACACAAAAGTGTTCCACTGTAAAGATGGTGTAGTTTGTTTTGTTGCAACCTGAAGTGTGAAATAAACTTCAGTGGAGTTTGAAAACAAAATATGTGTATAGATTTATTATATCTGGTTGAACGATGTGTGTGCCCAGTTGATTTTCTTTTTTTTCTGGGGGGGGGGGGGGGGGTGGGTAGGGGGGGGGTGGGTAGGGGGGGTGGACATTTTATTGTAATCCAAAGGGGGGCCCAGAAGAAAATCTTTGGGAACCACTGCTATAAGCCAACCAGGCTTGATATGACTCCCTCTTCACCTAGACAGCTTACTGCTGGTGTCAACCACCAAGTTTGGAGATTGCCACCAACAGGCACTACAGACCTTCCGGTCACAGATACGGGCTGCCACATCGACAATAGAGGCAGAGAACATGGTTCACTCAGACTCCATGTCTCCGGCATCCCCCTGAAATCTGAGAGAAGGTGTCCCAGAGGTGGAGCAGCTGAACTTGTCCCTCACCAAAGGGTCCACCAGATTTTGTCAAACTCACACTATTTTCTTTAGCCCGCCCAGTCTGTCTGGCTTCCTCCTCTTCCAATGCGTCCAACTCACCAGCAGGTGGTGACCAGTGGACAGATTTACCCCTCTCTTCATCCGAGTGTCCAAGACATCTGGCAGATGGTCAGAAGATACGACTAAAAAGTCGACCGTTGACCTCTGACCAAGGGTGTCCTGGTGGTAAGTGCACCGATGGACATCCTATAAATAGTCAGACTCTCCTCCACACATTGTATATGCTCCTCCAGGGGATTCTATAGCTCAGCTGGGGGACTTTAACACCATGTAGGAAACGAAAGTGACACCTGGAGGAGCATGATTGGGAGGAACGGCCCCCCAGTTCTGAATCCTATTGGTGTTTCATTATTGGAGGTCTGTCCAAGTCACAGATTGTCCATAATGTATTATGGGGATATTTATCGTAAATAAATATATTGTTTACAATGATTTGAAAAAAAACTTTTTCCATCTGTTCATTAAAAATGTCTAGTCTTTAACCTAGTGACTGATAAACACAACTTAGAATAATATTTTTTTTGTTGTATAAATTTTTAACATCAGATATTCCATTATATCATCTACTGTTTATGACATACTTTCCAAAGTCCTAAAATCTATTGATTTATGATTATGTAATGATACTCCACCCACCTTATGTTTTTTTAATGTTTACATAAGTTAATTCTAATCATCTGAATTGAAAAACAATATCTTTGTAATCAGGATTCTTAAAAAGCAATTATGCTTAAAGGCGACGTAAAATATGGCAAATAATCCTTGATAGAATTAAAGTTTTTGATTGTGTATGACTCATAGTTTAACTGATATTTTACCTGCCGACTTGATGACATTTGTAAACGGATCTTGTCTATAATAGTCACATTTTATATGTTATTGTTGGGGTCGATGTGTCCTTGATCCTGTTTGTTTTGCTCTGTATGTTTGCAGCTCCATTCGTTGTAGTTGTTAAATTCTTTGAAGCAGATCAGAGTTGTTGCTGTTTGTAGATGCAGGTGCATTAGGTGTAATAATTATGGTGACTCTTACCTTCACTGGTTGTATTGGTCAAGGTCCTCTAGTCTTCTCATCACCATGACGTTTGCTGCCTCAGCAATACTTCATTACCCAGGAATGTTGGATCTTTTTTTTGTTTCTGTAGGCACCTTGCTTTCTTTGAGATCTGTGAAAAATGTATGATTATGTTTATGCATTATTAGATGCTTTTATCTAAAATGACTTATGAAGTAGACACAATGTTCCAGTTATCATCAATCTGACAAAAAGTTCTCTAGAGGAAAAAGTCAGAATTAGTGGTGACAGCAAAGAGAGAGAGACAGAAGTACAGAAAGAGTAGTAGAGGGGTACAGAGGTATGGCTAAGGGTTAACTGAAGATAGAGAGGGACGCTGGTGTTCTTGTAGCGCTTGGTAGGTCATTCCACCATCTTGGATCAAGACATGAGCACAGTCTGGATTGTCTTAAAATACAGACTGTTTTCCAAATCCAAAACTATTGTCCACAATCCACTGATGACCGGAGTGACCGAGTTGTGACATAAGACTTTGGAGGAGGGTTCAGGTAGATGGGAGCCGTACCCCTAGTTACTTCGTAGGCTAGCATCAGGGACTTGAATTTGATGCTAGCAGCCCACAGTAACCAGTGACGCTGATATGAAAAGAGGGGTGACAGGGCTGATTGAAGACCAGATACGCTGCTGCATTTTGGATCATTTGTAATGGTTTTACCATACAGGCTGGGAGACCAGTCAGGAGTGCGTTACAATAGTCAGGTGAGAGATAACCATTGACTGCACCAGGAGCTGGGTAGCATGTTGAGTTAGATATGACCGAATCGATCTTATGTGAAGTGACAAGATCAAGAAACAAAGATAACATGATCTTTAAAGGTCAGCTGGTCATCAGTCATGACACCCAAGTTTCTTGCTGCCTTTGATGGAGTCAGAAACAGTGATCCAGTCTAGATGTGAGTATTGTTGTGTATGGTTGCTTTGGCTGGGAAAGGTTGGATGTGATGGGCTTTTATCTATTTAGATATGTCAGAGAGACTGTCTGAGATGCTGGTTGAGACCGTGTGGTCATCAGATCGAAATGACAAAGCTGGGTGTCATCAGCATAACAGTGGTATGAAAAACCATGTGACTGAATGATCTGGCCCAGTGGTGTATATAGCAAAGAGAAGAGGTGCCAGTACTGAACCTTGAGGAACCCCTGTGACGAGATGGTGCACTGCAGAAGGGTGACTAAGCCAGGATACTTTGAATAATCGACCAGTGAGGTACGATTCAAACCAGAAGAGTGCTCTCCCTGTAATGTCCATGCTTAAGAGTATAGACAGAAGGATGTCACGGTTGGCTGTGTCGAATGCGATTGATAGGTCAAGCTGAGGACTTCCCTGTTGCTCTTGTCCACTTTTAAGGCTTTTGTCACAGACATCACAGACAAAAGAGCCGTTTTAGTGGAGTGGTCTTTTATAAACCTAGATTGGTTTGTATCAAGGAGATTGTATTGTAAGAGGTATTCTGTGACCTGCTTAAAGACTACCCTTTCAATGGCCTTAGACAGAAATGGTAGTAGAGACCGGCTGATAGTTTTCCACCTGAGTCGGTGGGAGAGAGGGTTTCTTGTAACCAGAGCTTGCTTGTAAGTCTAAGGAAATGTCCCTGATGTATCACATTTATCACATTAAAAGCTTCATATTTTTATTACTTTTTTGGATTATTACAGCTAGGGTTCTTACATTTGCTGGGCTAACAAGGTGTTTAACATTTGAATCAGAACTTATTCAAAATTTGTACTCATAAATTGGAGCTTTGAGATGGGCCTGTAGTTCTGCAGCACAATCTTGTTTTAGGGCCGTGGTGAAAACACCTGACAAACGTTATGTTATGACAGGCAGAGCTGTGTCAATGAAGGTTTTGGGAAAAAATACTGAGACAGCAGGATGAAAGCTTAGATGTATGATTTTATTCTAGTGTTTGATGTTGATTTGATGAAACTTTGTCAAAATTAGGTTTAGTTTGAAATTACTTTTTGTCCTGGACTTTGAAGGGATGTACAGACTGCTCCTTTTATCTTTTCCGTTTTATTCAGTGAAGATGTTATCAAATTCCTTTCTGGCTGAGTAGAGTTCAGGAGCAGATCAGCAAATATCAGCTGACTGTCTAATGTTAATTTATTATGTTTCCTATCAGCCATACAAACAATGCTGCTCTGTTTGTCTGTCTTTCCCTGTTTCAGGTCCATCCATTGGTGGTTCCATAGCTGAGAGCATTGGCTTTCCTTGGCTGATGACCATCATCGGAGTAGTGGACATTTTCTTCGCTCCTCTCTGTTTCTTTCTAAGAAGTCCACCTGGACAGGAGGAGAAAATTGTACGTTTTAAAATTCATCTAATTAAACCCAAACAGAGCTCAAAGCAAAGTATTCCTTTTCATCTGTTTGATAAAAAAATAACTATATGTCTTTTGAAATCTCCTTTTGATTGAGTTGGTTTGTATCAGAAATCTATGTAATATGCATTCGGATCTGTCTTTTATACATCTTTGAAGCACCCTAATGTTTGTATTTTATCTTGAAAGTTTACATTTAAATAGAATTTTACTTCATGTGAAACTAAACCCAACGTCAGAGCATAACCCTGCCATCACACAGATTTAGCTATTTTGATATTAGGAGACATGGCCCAGTGTGGGGATGAGTGGACAGCGTTACTGTGTGTGTTCAGGAAGAGGAAGGATACAATAAATTACATATTACTAAATAATAAAATAAAACACCCATTTATTGAGGTCCTTAACAGAACAGAAAATAGGACAGAAAACTTATCCTATTTTCTGTCTCCCTACATGAAAAAATAATAAGGCCACTCTTTCAATAAAAAAAAAAAATATTGAAACTATCAGCCGGGGACGACAGGTTGGCAATCATTGTTGTTTTTGAAAGCTGTCTTAGATTTAGTCTTAGACTTCAGGATGAAAACTATTGTTAGTCTTAGTCACAGTCATTACGATATGTGATAGGTTTAGTCGAATAACACTTAAAAAGGTTCTAGTATAGTTTTAATCAATGTTATGTTGCAAAAAAAAGTCAACCTATACAATTTAGAATAACAACCAGATCATTTACCAGACTGACAGCTCTATCCTAGATACTACAATAGCTGGGTATAGAATTCTGCCATGCAGTTGATCCAAGAATTCAAATAAACTTTTTTTATGAATTAATGGCATACTTTATAAAAAAGTGTCTCACAAAAGTTGTTAAAAAAGCATCATATTTAAATAGATATAAATGAGAACAATGGGATAGAAACATTTAAAGATCTATGTACCTTTTCTTCTGGCTCTTTATCCGCTAATTTTTATTTAGTCTCGTCTCATTGACGAAAACTCAAACCTAAAAGTCTGATGCAAACTCACGCACAACAATATCTGCACAGGCATTGGTACAATGCCAGAGGGTGGAGAGATATTCTGTGTGCATGTAAACACATTATGACCATTAGAAATAACAATACAAGAAAAATATTAATCAAGAAAAAATGTCTACAGAGCAGGATGAATTAATTCAGCGAGATGGCAGACAATTTTTATGTAATTAAACCAAGACAAAGAAAATGACTGAATTTAAATATCCTTTGTTTTTTTCTTTTACTTTTTTATTTTTTACTTTTGTATGTTGGTTTATACTCACCGCATTGAACAGGGCATCAAAAGTGATGTAATAATGCCGTCTCCACCCCAAAGCATGGACCGCACACGCAGCCATGCTGCTAGGTCAAACGACTCCAAACTTACTTTAATTTTTCTAACTTGGCGCAACCTTACACCGCCAGCCTCATCCAAAATGTTAACTTATAAAATTTGCCTGAACTGACATCCAATGGTGTAGAAGGTTCACCACAACCACATCCACATCAACTATAAACATGTACATCTCTTCTATGGGCTCGCTACGGCACACGAAGAAAGCACGCCAACCCAACGAACGAGTATATGTCAGTGAAAGTTGCAGTTATTATTATTATTTTAAGCATAGTTTTGCTCTGTCTTTTCAGGCGATCTTGATGGACACAAACTGCTCAATGAAGACGAGGTCTTACTCCACACAGGGGACGTATTACCAGGGTGACGACATGGATCCAGAGAATGACGATTATGATTAACCAGACAACAGCCATGTAGTTTAAGCCCTCAGAAAATATATATTTTGTTGTACAAAAAAAAAAGGAAACAGGGAAACAAAACATAATGAAAAAACACATCCAAGATATTCCCATGTCAGTGTCCTGCATTTGGTCGTCGCTGTTCAGTGTCCTCTTCACAGTTGTAATGGAGGAAAACAAAGTTGCTCCAAATGTGCATTTAGTAAAAAGAAGTGGTTTTAGCCAGAAGCCTTATTGAGTGAGAAAATGTTATGATCAACACTGATCAACGGCGAGGGCAACAAAGAAGGGTTTCTTTGTCGGCTTGTTTTCAATCCAAAATCTGTTTAAATGAATGTTTTAAGTTTTATATGTGTCAACATTACTGTATGGAAAATATTAGCAGAATTTGATGTTCAGGCTGTTGTAATAACTGATAGTGTATGGTATGTCAGTAAGGGTAAGACCAATGTTTTAATGTATCTGAATCCCATGCAGGTTTAGCTGTTGTTGAGAAACTGCAAGGGGCCAGCAGGAGTATAAAGATATGTAAGACACGAATATTGGATTTCTTCAGTTTAAATACATGTTTTTGTTTTCATTGAATATGACTGACCCTCACCCAACCCACTGATACACATGTTATTTTACCATGTTTTATAGTAAAACAATATGACCTAAGATAAACCTTTACCCTAACATTACTATACTTTACTATGACCTAAACTAAATTCACACCTTTTACTTAAACCAAACCCAAGAAAAGTTTTTTTCATGGAGCAGTTGAGGGGTACCCTGGCTCCGCCAGATGGATTTGCTCCGCATATCCATCTGGAAACCTTCCGTTGAAGTAATTTTGGGAAGGGCCGAAAATACTGGTTATCTGATTGGCCTATGTTGGTGATAGACGGGCCAAATAAACCAATCAGATCAACGAAGCATATGACGTACTAACAGCCAGGCTACTCTTGCCGAAACCAGTCGGGAGAAGAGCAAAAACATCTTTTCCTCTGAGAAAAGCCTCCAGAGCAGTGTTTTGCTCTTCTTTCAGTGAAGAAATACTCTGTAATTCCGCTAACGCCAGTTTCATCGGCTGAAGCCGCCATGTTCTTTAGACTGAAATGTCGCGCTTCTCGTTGCGTCACACCTCAACCTGCCTCAAAGCCAACACTGATTGGACGTTCTTTTGGTGAACGGCTCCAAATTTTCTTTATCGGAAAGTAGCCAGACTGATCTGCGAGTGAAACCTTGAAAGCTCGCGAGATCAGGATGGTCTCACGAGGCTAGTTGAGGGGTCCCCATAAGTACTTGTAAATCCCCGTAATGTAGAATATTGAACAAAAGTTGGCCTTACACTGTCTGCAAAAACAACTCCACACATCCACAAAAAAAGAGAGTATACATTTATTTTAATAATCCAGGAGGTACAAAAGAACAAACCCAACACATAGAAATCTGATGAAAACCTATTCAATTTTTAAAGATGGTTTCGTTCTGTTTATTAAAACAACTTCTATGTATCCTTTTTTTTGTTTTAAATTTTGCCAACATGTCAGAGAGGAAAATAATCTGCTGTCCTGATTTCAGAGAAACATATCACAAAGGGGTGTAATGATAATTCTGATTATTAGATGAGACTGTACACTGTACTGGTTCAGCATGATGACATAGGATTTTAATAATATTTTTGCGGAAACTATTAATCATTTTTTTCATAAATAAAGGTTTTGTAAATTAACAGTTTGAAAGAATGTTTGTTCATTGAATAATATTACAGTAAAGTTATGATCGTTAATTCAAAACATGTGATCTGGAGGCTCTTTACAGAGATAATTCAATCAGATCCTCCAGACAGATTGATTCAGTCTAATAAATCCTGGATAATAGCATCCAGTCACTGGTTCAGTTTCCATTACAAATGTGCACAAAAGAACATGGATGTTCTGCTAATTTTGAAAATGCTAATTTTAACAATTGCTGTATTTCCATTAAATGAATACAATTAAAATCTTACTTGAAACAATATTGCAGCGGTGGATGTAAACAGATGAGATATTTCCATATTTCATCCAAGGTTCTAGTTCTTATTGCAGCGCTCTTATCATAAAAATAGATTTCCGTTGGATTTCCATTTGGCAAAATTTATTTTGTGATAAAAATGTACGCAGTTTGATTTGAATGGAAATGCAGCTAATGGCAGGATCCACATCTCCTAGATAAGCATGGGACCTTTCTTGCAGCAATCCATATCACCAAACACAGACAGTGACAGCAGAGAGGAAAAACTCCCTTTTAAAAGGAAGAACTACCTAAGCAGAGGAGCTCTGAGCCAGAGAAAGAGAACTCAGATTTACTAAGGAGGGTTTTCAACAGGTTTTATTTTCAGGGTGAAGTGCGAGTGGCTGGGCATCAGCAGAGGCGGATAACCTGATTCTCTGCAGAGATGGAAAACAGAGGTCCGTGACTGGAATGTCAGGCTGATCACGACTTGGAGCAAAAGTCACTGACCTGATTTAAAGTTCAGTCCGATCCCAGAGGAGGGGAAAGAATCCGGGAGAGAGGTTATCCAAAGTTTGCAGCTGAGACAGCTTCCAGAACTCCGAGTGGTGCAGATTTTTGTGAAACAAGTGGATTTTCACTTGAATTGAGATGGTCAGTAAAATGATGTGCCTATCTAAACTATTTCTAAACTTAAACTGAGGGCAAAGTATCTCCATTAAAATTCAGTTCAGTTTATTTATACAGTGCCAATTTACAACACATGTCATCTTAGAGCATTTTACAGAGACAATCCAGTCAGTTGTCAAAAGTTTCTATCTAACTTGGAATGGGAGAATAGAGATAGACTGAGGCAGAATAATGAAGAGGGGTCCCTGTGTCCTCCAGCAGTCTAAGCCTATAGCAGCATAACTGGGCCCATAGGACGAGACAATGGTGAGAGACTGGTCCCCAACCAAAAATCGTAGGGGCACAACCCTGTCATTCACGGTTGGGAAATCCAGCATGTGACGACTGAGATCAGGGGCAATGAGCAAGCCTCCCCAGACCGCGACCTCTCACCACGGGCAACACCAGAGAAGTGGGGCACCAAGCCTCTCTTCAGGAGATGGGACCCAACCAAAGCGTTGAGGTGAGCCCGACTACATCCAGCCGGTTCCTCTTAACCTACCGAACAAGCTCAGGCTCCTTCCCCCCTAGGGGGGTCGTCTCACTTCCCGATAGCCAGAAACTGTGTGTGCAAAGGATGGGGGCCCGGCTGCGCCATACCGGGGCGACGTTACGGTCCTTGCTTTGACTATCTCCAAAAGGGTCTTCTGACCTGCTCTTAGTCTGACCTGTCACCAAGGACCTTTTTGCCATGTGAGACCCTACCGGGGGCATAACACACCGAAAAACATAGCTCCTAGGATCATTCAGGCACGCAAACAAATCCACCACGTCAAGGTGGCAGGGAGTTCTTTTTTTTTTTTTTTGAGTTTTTACGGCACTAGAGGGTCATTTTTATGGACAGTAGGCTGGCAGGAAAAGGGGTATGAGAGAGGGAGAGAGACATGCGGCAAAGGACCACTGGCTGGATTCGAACCCGGGTTGCCCATGTCGAGGACTTGGGCCTCCATACATAAGTCATGTGCGAAACCAAAGCACGCCCTGATCGCGGGTTGTAAAGATCTTTTTTTTTTATATAAAATCAAGCTTATTTATAAAGAATCCCATTTAATTGCATTTAAGCAGAACGTTTTACCAATATTCAAACATTATTACTGGGCTGCCAACGTCAGGACTCTGATGTTTTGGCGGCAGGGGTATCCAGACAGTTTGGCTCCTGAGTCCCCCTCATGGTTGAGAATGGAAGCCGCAACCGTAGTTCAGTCTTCCCTGCCTGCTTTGCTGTTCTCGAAGATAGAGTCATCCGGTATAATAAAAAGTCAAACTTTTGTCATTAAAAATTCTGTTAGAATCCTGAATCAGGTGAGAGGAGTTCTGAGCCTGCCAGCAATATGTGCACAAACGCCAATCTGTGGAAATCACTCCTTTATACCTCCGACAATAGATAAAACCTTTCAAATGTGGAAGGAGAAGGGTCTCACCTCTGTAAGGCATCTTTATATAAATGGACGCTTTGCATCCTTTGATGAACTAAGAGTGAAATACAATTTGCCCCACTCACAATATTTCCGTTATCTGCAAATTAGAGACTACGTTCGTTCCAAAATCACCAACTTCCAAACTCTCCCCAAAAAGCATGCATTTTTTGACGTTATGAATAGCCCTTCTGACTCCAAGCATCTTATCTCTACTTTTGTACGTCTGTTTGATGGCTGTATTGAAGTTTGCACAGATAAAATAAAAAAGGCTTGGGAGGAGGAGTTGGGTATTTGGCTGTCAAAGGCTGTGTGGGATAAGAGTTTGGCCATGATATCATCCTGCTCCATCAACAGCAGGCATCAGCTAATTCAGTTTAAGGTTGTTCATCGCCTTCATTATTCTAAACTTAAGTTGCATAAGATTTACCCCTTGGTTTCACCAATGTGTGACAGATGTAAAGTGGCTGAGGGTACACTGTCTCATGCTTTTTGGTTTTGCACACAACTGGCAGGATTCTGGGACAAGCTATTTGGCTGGTTCTCCAGGGCTTATAAAACAACCTTGCAACCAGATGCAGAACTCGCCCTCCTTGGATGCTCACAGTCCACAGCAAATATACCCACAGCAATGCGACAATCCCTGATGCTGGGGACTATTGTTGCTAAAAGGCTCATCCTGATGGACTGGAAATCAACCTCTCCTCCCTCCTTTCAGAGATGGCTGACTGATATGACCTCTGTCATACAAATGGAGAAACTTCGGTTTACGAGAGCTAATTCACTTGAAAAGTTCTCAGCTATTTGGGATCCATTTCTGAACCATCTGGATATGACCAGAACAAGGTGAGAGCCTCACCAGACTATTTACCTGGGACTTGGTTGAGACAATGTGTATATTCGGCTTATTTGTGACTGGCAGGTTTGTTATTCTTCCATTCATTTGTCTGTTGTAACCGTTTATTATTATTATTTTTTTTTATTTATTTATTTATTTATTTTATTATTATTTTTTTATGTCTGAACCTGATTGTTGTTGATTGCTGTTGTTTTTGTCTATTTCTACTGAAAATTGAAAAATAAAATATTATTTAAAAAAAATAGAATTACATCTTGCCCTTCTGCAGGAGTTTAAGTTATATGCTGATTTTTGTTGTTACAGAGGGCTGATTCATTCCTCTTTCCTTTTTGTGCATTCTGTTTGTAAACCTTTGTGGCTCTTACTGTCATTGGCGGGGGGGTGTTTGCTCCCCTCTTATTTGTGGGATATACAATCCTACGCTAACTGAAGTCTGAATAGAAATGAAGACACCTGAGATCAAATGTGGTGACAGTTGGATTTTCAGCACCATTAACTTTTGCTGCATTTAAAATGCTTTGAACATTTAGAAATGTGTTGTTTTACATGTAATTTCATATTCCAGCAGCTCAGAATGAGTCAAGTAACATGGAAGCTTTTCAGTATGCTCCAGGAAATCCTTGCGTTGATTGCCTGAAATGCTTGCTGGAAGACAGCACAATGAGCTGCCGTGACAGGGAGATGTGGGAGCCGGCACTCTGTAATCAGCCTGTCCGTCTAAAGGCTGGCCTTCAATTACTTTGCAGATGCTCACACAATACCTCGGTTTTCTTATCCACAAAAACAGGAAAGTTTTTTCTTTTTCTTGAACCACAGAGAAAATTTGCTTTTTTGTTCTATGAAAAGGTGCAGAAATCATGTGGAATTATTATGAGATCCTGAAAAGGAAACCATCTCAAACTCAGACGTGGTCTACATTCCTCCAGGAACAGGACAAACAGCCCACATTAAAATATGGCGCAGGAGTCCATAGTTAATTTCTAAATGAATCCTCGGATCCTTTATGGAACTGCTCTGGGGGTAACCATGGTTGCACGGTTTTACCCCTCTCACACCAGCCCCCGCCCTCTCCTCAACTGTCTCTAACACCAAGGCCACCAGAGATCTACCCTCTTCCTCACCGCCACTCTCACCAACCCCCGACCCACTCACACCCTCTGTCATGTCTCCCTCCCCCCTCACAGTCACTACAACGCAGGTGAGAGACCAGCTGAAGAAACTGAAACAGAAAAGCCTCTGGACCGAACGGCATCCCCCCAAGGCTGCTGAGGCACTGTGGACCTTCTGCGAGGTCCTCAGCTACATCTACAACCTGAGCCTCAGCCTGGGGGTGGTCCCAACTCTCTGGGAGACCTCCTGTGTGGTACAGGTTCCCAAAATGCTGCACGCTAAGGAACTGGCCCAGTCACCCTGACCCCCCACCTGATGAGGACCATGGAGGGCCTCATCCTAGTCCACCTGCACACCGTAGTGAACCCCACCCTGGACCCGCTTCGGTTTGCTGCAGCTTCCTTATTTGACATCGGAGTGGAGGATGCCATCATTTACCTGTTGAAGCAGGCGCTCACCCACCTGGAGACCAGCGGGAGCGCAGTGAGAGTCATGTTCTGTGACTTTTTCAGCGCTTTCAACACAATCAGACCAGAGCTAATGAGGGGGAAGCTGGAGGACGCTGGAGTGGACATCAACCACCCTCAGTACGTGCGGCAGTCAGGGGTGGCAGTCTGCATTACCGGGGCCCCAGGGCACCGTACCGTCTCCGTTCCTCTTCGTTCCTTTGCACCTCGGACTTCAACTACAACAAGGACAGGTACTATCTCCAGAAGTTCTCAGATGCTCCACCCGTAAAAAGAGCATCCTTCACTATACATTTTGATCAGTGTAGATTGACCCTGAACTGGTTTGCCGCCATGGCTCAGCTTATGTTGGTCTCTGTCTGGTTTTTAAAGATGCACCTCTGCCAAAAGTGCAGCTTTGTTGGAACAGCAGGGCTTCTTTTCAGAAAGAATGGCCTCCCCGACCCAAAGGTTCTGCCACTTTCTTACATATTGAGAGTTTTTGGTTTCACAACAGGTGAGATCAGTCGGCTCACTAATATAACATCTAATTAACTCTGAGGCTGACTCTCCAAATACGTCAAATTAAAGCTCCTACCTCCTGTCCGGTAAGAACACTATCCAAGGTAGGAAAAGGGCTTCAGCAGTGCTGAATGAAAATAGCCTTCAGTCGTCATTATTACACGAAGGACACACAAGAATTATGCTGGTCAAACTGGAAATACAAGAAATCTCTCGAAATCTCTCCTTTATTTTTGTTTTTTTTACCATCCTCTCTATATATCTGGATGCAATATTTATACTTCAAGCACCTTTCCTCTTTTGTGCACCTTCTGTTGTTTACGAGAGTCGATGTCACAAATGAATTTCTCCATTGTGAGATCAATAAAGTTCTATTTCATCTAATCAGTAGAATGATTTAAAAAAAAAGCAGTTTCCCAAACATGAAGCTGAAGCTCTACATTTTAAAATCCCAAACATGTAAAAGTTTGACGTTATGTTTTAAACTCCAGGTGGTGGCCTGTACCCGCAATCATATCTAATTCATGGAAATACTCCACATGAATCATATTTGGCTCTGAAATCATTAAAATCTGATGTCTTTCAATTAATTTCAATTCACTTTATTTCTATGGCGCCAATTCACAACACATCATCTCAAGGCACTTTATAGTTCACCAGATCATACAGTCAATTTGATTAAAAGTTTTCTATCTAAGAAAAACCAGCTGATTGCATTGACTCTAATGCTTTCCTAAGCATGCTTGTAGCAACAGTGGAGATGAAAAACTCCCTTTTAACAGGAAGAAACCTCCACCAGAGCCAGGCTCAGTGTGAGCGGCCATCTGCTGAGGCCGACTGGGGTTCAAGGAGACAGAAGCAGAGATACAGAAATAAGCCGTAACTGTAAAAGGCGGCCCCCGTCTAAGAAACCCACAGCCAGGCAGACGAGCTCCGAGCCAGCTCCCATGTCAGAGGACGAAGAGAGCACACCCAGTTAGTTACAGTCAGAGAAACAGGACTACACTGAAAAACAGGCTGATGTCCAACATCTGTAAACAACGGTGTTGATGGCAGCAGCACAGCTGACATTTCTCTCCAGGATGGAGTCACAGCCAAACAGGAACAGACCAGATGAAGCTACTATGAGAAAAAGCAGAGAGAGCAGAACGTTAGAGATTAAACTAAATGATTCTGCAGTGGGAGAATAGAGATAGAATGAAGCAGAATGATGAAAAAGGGGTCCCTATGTCCTCCAGAAGTGTAAGTCTATAGTATCTTTAATAAAACTAATCCATATCAAAGCTTATCCAAACATAAAACATCTCTACAGATGGAGATATCTTCAGAATACTTGCCTCCCACCTCAACAGGTTCTTCCATCTCCAAAACTTCCTTGTTCAGATCTCTGCTAAAAAGGAGGAAATACTCTGGGTTTTTCCAAACAACCCTGTTGCTGAGCTTGGTCCTTTCACAGAGTAATTTACTGTCGTAATTTTACTCAGAGTAATTGCTTCCTAGCTTTCTGAAACAGAAAAGTCAGCATATGCAGGGATTAATCCCAGATCTTACTCTGGATCACCTCTGTTTGGTGAAATGTAGACCAATTCCCATTATCTGAAGAAGGTTCCTGTGTGGAACTTTTGAAGAAAATTTACGTCTCACCACATGACTTTAACAGGGTTACTTTTCTGAAAAGCTTATCTGATGATGACCAGATTAGCTTTTCAGAAAAGGAGGACACTTTTTTAGTTTTCTGGTGGAGGGTGTCTCAATGACCCCCCTACCCCCCTATCCTATGCCCCACACACACACACACACACACACACCGCACCCCCACCCAGTCCGACGACTAGGGCAGTTGGTTAGTAACCTGACAACAGCCAGATGCATGTCTCGCTCCGCCCAGTGAGTGGAGCTGGGCGGAGCGAGACATGCATCTGGCTGTTGTCAGGTTAGTTGGTTAGTGGATCAAAGGCATTGCACGGGCCGGCGCACATCTGTTGGTATCTCTCAGATCCATAGCCAAACCAGTATACATATTATAAAAGTGAAGTAATTGAAGGCTATACTGGTTAAGTTTTAGGATTATAGAATTAAAATTAAGAGTATTTTGGTTTAATTCTATCAAGTTGTGATTAGTGATTAAGGTCTGTTGAGTCCTACTGACATTAGGGTGGGAGACTAGCTGTCCTGGTAAGGTAATAAAAAGATAAATTATGAGGTTTAGAGGAATTAGAGTCAGGGATTAAGTCAGCTGTCTTTAAGATCGGTAGTCATTTATGATGGTAAGGTAGTCAAGTTAAGACTTCATCATAAGGGTGAGATATCAAAGTTTAATATCACGTTTGTCACCTTGGGTTATCTTTTAAGTCCCTTGATTTAAGGTTAAGTAAAGGGGAATCATGGTAGGGGTTAAGGAAATGGTCTGGTTAGTTTTTCTAAATATGGAGCAGGTGTATTGGTTGTGATACACGGCTTAGGGTTGGGGCCTGGACGTCATGTGACTTTCAGGGTAAGTTAAATGGTCTGGTTAGTTGTTAGGGTTAGGAATTAGGGTTAGCAGCTAGGTTAGGGTTAGTTTAAGGGGGTGAGGATCGGACAAAATGTAATTTAGGGTTAGGTGTTAGGTTTACGTATGGATTCCACTAATATTAGGGTTAGCAGCTAATTGAACTGGTAAGCTGATAAGAAATATTAAAAATTAGGTTTTGATATGGATTCCATAGGTTAGGGTTAGTAGCTAATTGTCCTGGTAAGTTGATAAGTGCTATAAATGTAGTCTAAGGGTAAGGATAAGGTTAGGTTTTATAGAGGTCAAGGATTAATGGAAGATAATCATATAAATATTAATTGTAGATCAATGGAGGAAGCAGAGTCAGGGTAGACTGCCCTGGAATCCCATATGGAAAAGATATAGATAAATCTTGTAAGATTTCTATCTGTGTTGTCTGAAACTTGTATGTAATGCATATGAGAGTGAAACCAGATATAAAATCTATAGAAAAATTGTATAAAAGGGAAATTATATGATTTGGGTACTTCTAAGAACAATATATGACA